ACAGGAACAACAACAGCAAACCGCTGACTACGTCGATTGCACAACAGCAGTGCCGAAACACCCCGCCGGAAATTTACCCTCCGAAAAATCCATTCGAATGCGATAAATTCCCCGGCAGTTTTACGACCCGGAATCAGCCGGGGGACCAAGTGCTCTACGGGAATGCAAGCGACGGAAAATCCAGCTCGTAGGGGGTAGAGGGTTGGTTGGTAACCCATCAACCCCTCGATGTGTAACGCAATTTAAGCGCTCTCAGAATTGGTAACATTTCAACGCGATATTTGGCTTAGACCGTCTGCAAGTGGTGGCATGTGGCTCATTTGTTGCTGCCCCGGGCTTTGGATGGTGGGTTTTGTTTTTTTGGTGGCGAATGGGTGGTGCAGTGAGCGCGCCCACTCGATGCGATAATTTACATGCAGACAATGTGCTTCGCTTTTATTTGGCGGCATTTTATGCGATTCGCATTCTAATTTATATAGTTTATTATGCTTTGCTTTAATTTTATTTTCCCACTGGAAGCGATTTAATTGCAGTCATAAATTTACCTACCTCCCTTGTGGCTTTATTTTTGTTTGGTAGATGTTTATTTTGCCGTTTTTGGGTGATTTCGGGTTTCCTAGGGCATTTATGACCTAGTTGCGCTCTAATGCTAGGAATAAAAAAAGTTGATTTTAATAACAGCTTATGAGCCAGCCTTCTGCCAGCTTACACAAACACAGTGTTTGGTCGTACACCCTCTAAAATAAATCAAAATTAATTGTACCCATTCTGGGTTAAACCTTTTTTGGCGGATTTTCCGGCTGCCCCGGAAAGTCGGCAACACATTTTCAGCTCACTCACGTATTGGGTGCTGGAAAGTTGAAATTGAAAAAAATTTCATCAGACGAGGGGGCAGAGGGGTGTAACACGTATTAACTCGACACATGTGTAAATCCAATTCAAAACATGCCACGTGCAACCAAGCTACCACCCTGCCCCCCGTTTTCCACACCCACCATACGACTAAGCCAAAAACTTTTGCAAGCCAATGCAGAAAATAAATTCTTCTCCTTTTTTCCTTTGTCCATGTTTGTTGGCAACTCTGACTGAAAATACGTATAAGAAGTGAGTCACGCTGTTGCAGAAATGTGAATAGAAATTTTGGATGCTGGAGAAGAGATGCTGCTGCCAGAAAAGTTTACTTAAGTTTGGAAAAAAGATTATTGTTCGTCTTTTAACCTTTTTGAAGTCTGCAAAGTCTTGTTTAAAAGGGAATTTGCTTTATTGCGTTGAAGCAATTTATTGCTTAATTTATTCGTCGCTACTTGGTAGAATTCCTGCCAATTTAAATTCTCAGTGTGCTCACATTTGTCACGCTTTCGGTAACAAAAAACCAACTGCCAAGATGCAGGCGAAAGAAAGCGAGTTTTCATTGTGTTTGATTTTGAATGGAGAGAAAAATGGGAAATGGACGAGAGTAAATGATGCGGCGAGGAAAATGCAACATTTTCATTTATGCAAAATGGCAAAAAAGGCAGAAAGCCTCAACTCAATGAAAGCTTAAATAAATATATAAGCACCAAGGAAATTTCACAAAGATGAAAATTGCGACTGTATTTCTTTGTTCAGCTCTTCAGCACTGACCGTTCGTTCGTTCGGCCATCAAAAATAAAAGTGGGGTTGGTGTGGAAAATGCAGACGGGTTTTCTCCATTCGGAGCGAGATAAATGAAGCAGAAGTGGAAAGAAAAAGCTGCTTGCCCATATAAATTAGCCGGAGTGGCCTACTTGAGAATGCCAAAGGCAATGTGTGAGCCTGGAATTCGAGGGGAAAAGCGTGTGGGGAGAAAAGCGGGAAAATGAGCGGGGCTGTGGGGTGCCAAGTGCCATTTAGCATATTTTTTTTGTATTACTCTCCCTCTTGTTTTTGGGGGCGGAACTGGAGTCTGCGCCCTTTAAGGGGTACACAAGGCATTCCAAAAGTATGAGTCACTAAAGGTGGAATATGTTCGTTCTGCAGGCAACCTGAAGAATTTGAAAGTGGCAAGCAGAGTATGACAGACTGAGGGCACTGTGCTAACCAAATAAATGCAGTTAAGTGAAGTTTTTAATTTGCATTAACAACACAAGCGGGGGGATGCGGAAAAGCAAGGAGCAGCCAAGCTATCTTTTTCTGCTGCCAGAGCAAAACATTTTAATTTTACGCAGGAATACACAAAGGAAATGCCAGGGACAAACACACATGCACTTAGAGAAAGGGAAAGATGCACTTTCTGTAAAACCAGACATTAACTCAAAAGTACATTAATACTACACGCAGAAACAATATCTTTTAAAACTTAAAGATTCGTTTGATACGTAACTAGCCCTCAGAATTCCATGATTTCTGGGGTTCCATCACAGTAATAGGTCCACTTTTTTACTGTGTACTCACACCCCTCTCAGCGCCCATAAAGTGGCTGTTTCATCTGCGTAAAAGTCGTGCGAACGCGACAAATTGCCCCAAGGACAGGGGCAAAGTTCTTGGTCTATCTTCTCGACTGTTTCCCGAAAACACATCCCCACCCGCAACGACCACCCCCAAAACCCAAAACCCAACCACCCGCATTCCACAGCCACCTGCCCCATCTTCTGCTGCACCGGCAAAAGACAAAGAAAATGGCCCAAAGGAAGCAAGTGAGGACAAGGAGTTGGTAGTGGGAGCAAAGAAATGTAAACATCTGCATTTATGACTTTTGCGGCTGGCTAATCTCATGTTGGTATGTCAAAACAGGAAGGATGGAGGAACTCCAGGGAGTGGCACTGCCTTGGGTCCACATTAACCACCCTCCACTTCTCACCGGTTACAAAGGCACATGGCCAACGGAACTCAAACATGAAACAGGACTCGTTGCTCTGGGTGTGCCTGGTGAAGATTGTAATTAACATCAAATTACTATCAATAGGAGCAAACGAGCAGGACTTACAGGATCTTGGCCGAGACTGTTTGAATTACAGCCGGAGTTTGTGTGGATAAGGTAGCAGATTGAGGGTAAACGTCGAGTGTATTAGGTTTCAGGATTAACATTTCCTTTGGACTAACAAAGTGTATTGGATTCTTGAAATTGCGCAAATAATATTTAATTGAACGGAAATTCCATTTATTAATGATTTACTTTGCAACGAAAACGGATTTTATTTGGTTAACTGAATTATAAATATAAAATGTACAATGTAAAAATATACTTATCATTGTCAGGACATTAAATCGCAATGGCTTACTGCTGACGGTCAACTGATATTCTGATATTCTGATATTCTGATTTTACTGCCATTTTTCTGTCGCTTGTGCCATTGACAATACGTTCAGAGAGCAGCCATTATCAATTAAATCGGGTCAATTACGGGGCAGCGGTAAAAACACGGATAAGGGCACATTCCTGGCCATTTGTAAAATGTGTTGTTGCAGCACCTTTAATTACAAACAACGTCGACGCGAACAAATTGCAAACATTTTATAATTTTCGCATGGCAAACGGAGCGCACAAAGGGAATGTGAGGTGAGGGAAGGCCAAGGAACTGCGTTTTCCATTTCCCATTTTCCACACTTTTCCCGCGGTGCTGTTGAACAAAACGCAAAATTTGCTGAAAGGCGGCATAAATGTTAACGGCTCTACACGTGTTAGATTCAACTGCAACACGCAAAGCTGCAAATAGTTTACCTGACTTACAGTTAGTAAACTGCAGTAAGTGCAGTGAGAAAAATGGTACTCATGATAAATGTATTACGTTTCGAGGAAGCTATTGAAAGAAAGAATCTAACTAAATGGAAGCCTTGCCACCCTAAGACCCTAAAATATCTTTACATTTAGTAATATCTTAACCACATATCTTACCTTTTGATGCTTACAATCATTTGCATGCAATTAGGTATTTTGATTACCTATACATTTATATAGTTTTTTTCGCAAACTACTTGATTTTGGCTTAGTGTTCCTGTGGCCTATAATTATGCTGCTTCCGATGTGGCAGAGTACGAGCCGCGACGCATTTAACAAGGGCCCAGACAAAGGAGGCTCCTCCCTGGAGGTTCTGCCTCTGTCTCGCCCTCCCCAATCCCCCATCTGCGGTGCTTCCGACGCATTTGTCTGTCTGGCAACGAGGTTTGGCTTAATTATGCGACAGCCAACAGCGCCAGCAACATGCTACATGCTGCATGCAACACCCAATAGCAACAGCAATATCCTCGGCCCCACTCCGAAAAGCAGCAGGAACTGTAACTCTCATGTGCCAAATTGGTTTGCAGACACCGTACGGTCGGCAATTTCTCCTCCATTTCCCCCAGCGGATTGATTTATAGTTTAACCACCCCTTCATTCCCTTTTTGGGAGTTGTAATCTTATTTAAATTGTTGCCAATTTGAGCGTGTCAATTTGGCCATGTGTCGTGTAGCAGCAGCGATGCCATCCTCGTAGGTGACTAATTAAAATACGGTTCGGATTTGCGCAGGACAATTAATTATTTATGGTTTAAGTGGGCTTAAAAATGTCATGAATATTTAAAGACCTCCGCTGATTGATAATTGCTTGCCTAATTACATAATCGAATGGTTGATTAAAAAGGCATAATTACAATAAAACGGCAGGTGGCGGATGTTTGGGAATTATTTTGACGATTTGACTATTTGATTAAACTCATACCCTACACAGATTCGAATGAACATTAGGCTATTTAGGTTTCTCTTTGTATATTAAAATAGCCGTTGATCGTGAAAAGGGAATACTAGATCCATTAAAAATAATTTCATATATTTAAAAGAAAGAGCAATTAATGAAAGCCCCGCTAGGTGGAGCTGAAGTGCAGCGTAACGGGTATCAGTTAGTTTATAGGTAATGCAGTTTATAACTAAATTAATGCTCCTGTGCGTTTCTAAAGTGTGCTTAAACATTGAGATTTCTAAGTTGCCTATTTTAGCTAAAACTGTATTGTATTTACTCTCGCCACAACTAAAATTCACATTTATTTTCCTACCGGTCATTGCAGTCACAGCAAATCAGTGTCAATCAAAGTGTGGGAAATCGACACGAATTTCCACAAATATGCGCCAGCAAATAGAAGCGTCGGACGCTATAATGAGCCATATCAGCGGACATATTTTACCCACTGGAATGGGAAATGGGAAAAACAATGAGCAGCCTCATCATCACGATCATCGTCATCAGCAGCAGCAACAGCAGCACTTGAGTAAATAGAAAATCAGTGTTCAGAATCAATATAAAATCAATACAAATAGTGCGGGACGATAGACAGAAATTGACATTATTCGCAACATTATTCGCTGTCGCTCAGAGCAATAAAAACCCGACTAGCAGCGACAAAAGCCATCGGAGCGTCGAAAGCCAAACAAAGCCCAGTACGCCGACCAAGATGGGTGGCAAGCACCAGGGAGTCTCCTCCGGAGGCGGCAGCCTCAACTCCAGCCTCTGCAACTCCGTGATGACGAGTGCCACCACGGCAAGCAGCAGCCTCACCCAGCAGCAGCAGCAGCTCCAGGCCAAGTACATCAAGTCGAAGCGCCACCAGAGCCGCTACACCAGCCTCCAGCACTCCGGCCACGACTCCGGCAGCTATCTGCACCTCAACTCGCTGTGGTCCATCTGGTACGGAGTGCTACTCACCCTGTTCCAGGGATACCTGGCCATGCACGGAGCCTACAGGTTCTTGGGTAAGTTGATGATGTGGCTTGCCACATAAACAGATGGATTGAAAGCTGAAACAGATGGATTAAGAATTTCAAACATTTTCAAAGTATATCCCATTCTGTTTGACTAAACTACTTCACTTGAATTGAGAATTCATGTTACTTAAATATGTTTAATCAATTTTATTAAATTTCCATATATGTATGTGGTTTATGCTTGATTTGTTTTTATTAAATATGCCAATTGCATATGTTTCATATACTCAAAGCAAACTATTATTTAGAGATACTATATCATATATTTTCCCCTGCAGGATGCTCTCTGATACCCTGGAAAATCGAGCCTGTGGCCGAGCTGAATCTGCAGATCGTGCTATCTGGAGTGGTGTTCATCCTGCTGCCGGTCTTTTTTACCTCGGCCGTATTTAAGGTGAGTGGTTGGCTTATGGGGTGCTGGTGGTGATGGCATTGTTCCAATGGGCTTTTAACCGGGAGCATGCTGCTGCGATAATTAACTGTGTATGGGAGTGTCCTTTTTCTGCCGGTGTGTGTACTCGGTTGCACTCAATAATTAAATTTTTTGTTGTCTCTGCCGCTGCAGTGGCTCCATTTGCCAGTGTGCGGCTGCTCTTTGGTTTCTTGTGAATTATTTTTAGTGGCATTATTCACGTTATTAAATTTATTTGCAAACAAAAACAGCACTGGCAGCATCCGCAGACCAGGAGGAGCATACGTTGTGGGTCCTTTTCAGCTGATCCGCAAAATGGCTGACACCACAGCACGGACACACACATGCCAAACACACATTCTATTGCTGTGTGTGTGTGCTCTGTGTGCGAGGTCCTTTCACCCCTTTCCCAGTGTCTCTGCTTTTATCAGTATAATAAATGCAATTATGGTTTTCCCTTTCTATTTCCCTCTGGCCGAGCTGCACATATAGTTTCCATACTTTAGTTAGTGTTTTATTTATCTCATATTTGTTAAGTGAGCGGGCAGACGATGGTGGCACACGCTCGATAGGAAAATACAATCACCGACAAACGGCATTCACTCCACCACCATTTACTCCTTTTACTTGTTTCCGATAAAAGCCACTTAAAATGAAAGACAGATGTGAGGAGACACACGGAAACAAAATGCTGTCTGCATTGGAAAAGCATTTTCTTCATCGAAATCTTACTTTCACACTAGAAATCAGACAAAGTACCGAATTTATACTTGCTTTGCGAACTTACGTTGATTTCAAGTGAATTTCCTGAAGGAAACTAATAGGGATATATGCACATAATAGTATTATATTTGTTATTTGCCTGAGTAGCAATTTCCCAAGTATAACTTTTTTTGATTCCACCACTTTTCGCTTGGTGTGGTGATGCGAATCTTGGCGTTGGAGCTCCTGTCATTCTAGGTCCCCTTCCCCGTCCCATGTCGGTACCCCTTTCACCCACTCCAACTGAAAGTTTTCACAAATAATTGGCTTGTTTTTAAAACAAGCGAAATGGAAGGAAGCTGCCGGAATATGGACTAGGCAAATTGGGAGTGGAGTGGAGTGGAGTGGACTGGAGTCTATAGTCCGCCACAGACTGTCCATTGGCTGTGACAGCACACTGACCGTAGATCCTATCACAGAGTCGGCCAGCTGCACACCCCTTTCAGTCCCCAAATACACAATTCCATTAAGTATGGAACTTACTGCCCAGAAAGGGGGGATTATACTCCTCCTGGAGCAGAAGCATCAGTTTGCTAACGGAAACACGGGAGTACATTTGAAAAGCGCTTTGGTTAAATAGATGTATGTTGGGAATAGTACGTCAGTTTACTTTCTTACATACTAGTATTTTGTAGAACTAATATTGGCTCTAAATTAGATAAGTGACTTTAAATATCGATGCTTTTATGTTTGTTCAGAAACCCCCCAAAATACGGAATAAAATTAAATAATTTTCAAATTATGTTTCCCTTAAATATTCTAAAACACCCATTTTGTTGTGGGGCTCTATTTTTATTTATTCAAATTGACAAAGAAAGAAAATCCAGCTCAAAGCTATTCAATTTCCCATTGATTTCGGTATTAATATTCATGGCGCCGTCACAAAAATCACTGTGTGCGACTTTCCTCGCCATAAAAGAGTATACAAATTGTATGCAAATATTCCTTTTCACCGCCGGCCAGACAACCACAAAAGCGGCAGAACAGCATCAACAACAAAAACACAACCAACATCATCAGGAGCCGCCAAAAAACGCAGCCTGGCAAAAGCTGCCTATCAGTCAGCGGCCAGACAGTGGCCGATGAAAAGCAAGGAAAATGGGTGGAAAGTGGGTGGAAAGTGGGTGGAAAGCGGGTGGGAAATAGGGAAAGTAGAGGGGCAGCAAAAACCGCCAACGAGCTGAATGACAAAGGGAGGGAAAAACACAGACAGCCATGGGGAAAGGGGAAAGTGGAGGGGTTCATCACACGTCGCCGAACGTTTAATAAAAGGCAACAACAAACGACAACGAACAGAAATTGGTTGCAAACTAAAATCCCAACATTGACCATTGAGGCGTGGCTATCAGGACCCCGGCAGGAACCAGGATTCAGGGTCCCGAAATCAGGAGGGGCGACAGGAACAGGGCCAGAAGTTCATAGTTTTGCTTAGTTTTTTGCCATCAGACCAACAGACCAACACAATTACGTTCAACTCCTACGGGTACGAGTATGTGTGGAGCGATAAGACTTGAGGCAATTGGAAAGTGGTAAAAGCGGTGGAAAGCCGGCACAATTGGGCAAAGCGGGCAAAGGAACAGAAGCTGCTGGCCAACTGTCACAGCCATAACAACGAGATGCACAAACTTTGCGACTTTCATATTTGCACAGCATTCGAAATTAAACGAATGAATGAAATGGTCTATTCCGCCACTCCACATGTGGCAAGTGCCCCTAACGAAATGGCTGACCAACGTGGATGGGGTGAAAAGAATATGAGTAAGAATATGCTGAGTTTATGGCACACGTTTATTAGGATCATTATTAGAAGCATTATTAGTGAATTTTCTATAAAGTCAAAGTTATCCAAGATCCTTAAAATGAAAAACTGAAATTATGAATGGTTTCCTTCTGCACCTGGATTTCCAACTAATCCCCGCCAGGAGACGTAAAGCATCTTTGTGCTCGTTCCACATCCAAGACGTTAATGAAGGCGTAATCGCAGTGACATGATTTAGAGATGATTTGCCTGCGGTGAAGGAGCCGCGAAATGTTGGCACATCTAAATGTATTATCCGCCTGGCACTCAGCGATTTCCCAAGCCCGCCAGCACTTGGAATGCACTTCGCTTTTTGCAAATTGCAATCATTGTTGCTCGTCGGAACCAAACCAAGCCCAAACAAAGTGAACGAGTCGGTTTCCATTTGCTGCTCATGGTGCTCATGGAGCTCATGGTGGTTTTGGCTCAGATCCTGATTCAGATCCTGCTCCTTCATCATTCTGATGCCTGCTTGCTTTTAATTTAAAAGCCCGAAAGCTCGCCTCTATTTATATGTACATATAAATGTGAGCACGTGATTTTAATGCTCGTTTATTTCGTTTTTCTGGCTCGTGGAAACAAATGTGGGGGGAGCGTGGGAATATATACTTTATGTGGGAAAAATAATAGATGCATGTATATTGCATGGTGCGCGTATATAAATATTTCATTTCGCCATTTGTCACGTGCAACGTTTCCTTTATTTGTTGCTCTTGTTTATGCGCCAACGCGTCGTATGCGCAATGCCTTGGTTTGCCTCACTCTGTCGCTCAAATCGCGATGTGTTCGCATTTTGAGCGCATAAAAAATGCATTAAAAACCCAAACACAAAAGCACTTTTTGTGCGCATTCTTGTTTCTGCCCTACACATGTACTGTTTCTAGTCCTTTTTATTTGTGGATAGATTTTTTAATAATGGCCCCGCGGCCCAGGGACGTGTACACCAAATTGTTCGACATGCAGTTGGACTGGTGTGCGGTCAACCAAGGATGTCGTCCCTTTTGGCCAGTCGCCTGTTGCAGGCAATTATGAAATGCGAAATGCCATTCCGTTTGATAGATTCACAGTTGGGTAATTTATTCAGTGAGTAGTGGATGCCACTCGGTTTGAGAAAATTTGATATCCCATACCTAATAATTTGCATAATTTAAGTTGAATGTGTAACTTTAGGCAGCCTGAAACTAAATTCAAATCATGCACATATCGCATTACTTTCATGATTGCTTTAATCCAAATACTAATTGATTGTCGCGCTGAGTGTGTTGATTATAGCTTATGAATCACGGTAATAAATAGCGACTGTGGAACATATCTGTGAATTATTAATAAGCCCGTGACAAAAAAAAATCACTTTAGGTTTCATTGAACACATATGAATGTTGGTTTCCTATTTTTGTGACCCTATAGAGGGCATTCAGAAGGCTGATTTTAGTCAGAAGTTTTCCACGCAGTTAAGGATACATATGCGCACATATAAAATATATATATTCTTGATCATTATCAACAGCCGACCGTTTCTAGGAAAACTAGTCTCTTTGAAATAAATGGAAAAAAGGACCTTCAGCTTGCCGAATCAAAGGATAAAAAGTTGTTAGTCATCAGTCCGCTTAAATGTGTTTAATTGGCGGTAACAAAATAAATCATGCAATGATTTCATATATTTATAAAGTGCCATACAATTGCCATATAAAAAGCAAATATTTAGTTTGAATTTGCTTAGCTCCCTGTAAATTATTTGTAACTTATTTCTTCCAGTACGTAGCTGGCATTTGTGTTTCACTAAACAATTCCAGCTCAAATAAGAGAAGTTGAAATTGAAATTGCATATGCATGCACATTTCGCAGAAAGTGGAGTGAGTCTTGTGAAATTTTCAATTTCCGCCCAAGAGGGAAAAGCGAAAGCGAGGCTGAATCAATAAGCATTCATTGCCAAGTCCTTGGCTCCGCTTAGTTAAATCCACCCAACTGGCAGATCGTTTGCATATGTGAACTATATACATAAATTCCCCCATTCCAGCTAGTCGAAAACCAAATTATATGTAATGCATATAGATTCATTTTAATAATTCGGCATTTTGCGGACTACTCGACAGGTTGGCAACTTGGCAAACGACGGAATTAAATTGGCCACAGGTGCCAGGGAGCGGCGCTGCACCCTCTCCCCGCACGATGGCCTGGAGGAGGAGTCGCGGGGCGGCACCCTGCGAGCCCTTTGGACCCACGGCGGACCCACGGCGGCCTTCGTCCACATCCTGATTGCACTCTGCCTGCTGCTGCCCAGGTTGCTGCTCGAGGCTCGCATCATTGAGAACGGATTGCTGCCAAAAGGTGAGTTTAATTAACCAACAGGATTCGCGTTGAATGGGCGAAATCAGAAACGGATGGCGCTCATAAGTATGCTGCAGAGCAGCGGTGCAATATGAAGCTGCCGGAAGTGTACGCCATGTTGCTTTATTTGCAGATGAGCACTTCCGGTGCACGTCTTTCTCTGCGTTAAAATATCATTTTCTTTTCTTTCTGTTTGAATGTGATTATCGAACTTGGCTTATATTGAAATGTGTGGCCACACGTTACTCATTATGCTAGTCGAAATTAACTTACAGATCGGGATAGATTTTTCAAGATACTTTTTAGCTTAAACTAACTACTGGAAACAATCTTTGTATGGCTTTTCTTATTACTAATTATCCCATCTGAGGAGAATCCTCACTTGCAAAACTCACTGGGAACTGAAACTTTCGATCCCCTTAGAGCTACTTTTGTAGCTATTTTTTATTGCATGTCGATTAAGCACTTCCCGCGGAAAAGCAAATCCTGGAGGGCAATGGGGCAGGAGAATAACCCATGCACAATGTTGCCGAGCACGAATCGCATTTATCCCCGCTTTCATTGTTGTCAAGCATACGCCACGTTGTACATTGTCATATTGATGGTGCGATGACACTGCCGCTGTCGCTGATGACAACTATTAAAATGAACATGAGTGGAGGCGGTTTTCGCTGGCGAGGGGTGGGGAAAGTGGTTGGGCTTTTTATCAATCATAATTTCCATTGTCGATGCAATCAATTCGCAATCGCGTTTGCCATTCCGTTTTTAATTCAATTTATTGTCCTTTAAACGAACTGAAATTGGCTGCAATTTCCATCTTTCTCGGGGGAAAATCGCGGAGCAGGGTAAATGAGCAGGCCAATTTAAATTCGCTGGCATATGTGTGGGCCAGGACCAAAGTGTTTAACCAAGAAGTTTGGGATGCTCTGAAGGACGCTTAACAAAGTGAACTTAGGGGAATTTCCGAAGGCAGCTAAACAAAAAATTCCGAGGAGCTGCCGGAGCAGCAGCTTCAAAGGCAATCGCTGGGGAAATCTGCTGGCCAAACATATACAGCCCGACCGCTCGGCAAACAAAAACACAAACGAACGAGCGAGCACACAGGCTAACAACCGCAGGAGCAAACACCGCTCACTCACATGCACAAGCACACAGACACAGACAGGAGGAGAAGGACGGTGAAGGGGTCATTATGGCCTGCAATAAGCCATGTTAATAACAAGGCAGCAGCAATGGCAACGGCAACGGCAACGGCAACGGCATCGCTGCGGAAACGAGTCAAGCGACCCAAAACTGTGCAAATGTTGGCCAACTGTGAGCAGGACACCAGGCGAATGAGTCCTGGCCACGTTGCATCGACGGCCGCTGTTTGTACACCACATCCTGGGAGCTCCACGTGTGCTTGCGCCTCTGTTGACAGTTGGCTCGATGAGTCTCACATGGTGCCGCCGCCGTCCTGGCAGCCCAGTAAACTAATGCCACAGTTATTGACACGCTGGCAAAAATAATGAGGGTGGACTTACCAACTTTCCAACTTTCGTTGGAGCAGGCTGGTGCCAAGAAACACTTGTTTTTTAGCGAGAATTTTATGTGAAACACATCTTGAAATTACTTATATTTAAATTACTAGGTTGCATTTACTTAGCCATATTACCCACCGACAACTTCGGAACATCTCAGTATCTTTCCTTTGACTATCTCGTGATAACGAGGTGTATGCTGAAATCGAAAAATAACTTCATGAACTTACATTTACCAGCTTGGTATTAAAAGGTTTGTTCAGCATTTAAAGTTGCTAAGCCGCCCGCCAAAGTACACATACCATTTTCCATCAAAAACTTTCGCTAAATGGCCACGAATGGCAGCTGGGATTGCAAAAGGGAAAAAATCGCGATGGTGCGATGGGCGAAACAATGATGGAAGGCTATAACATCGGCAGGCAAATCAAAATTTACTACATTTAAAGTGGATACCCGAGCCAGAGCCAAAGTCCCCGGCCAGCAGTTGGTCGGGAGTGGTTGGCCGGTTTATTGAACCAGTGGGAAACGGAGTACAGAAGTGAATCGCTGGACAGGCGGGCAGGACGAAAAGACAATGGCATCGACCATTGGACCATTGGACCATCGGTCCATCGGAGCATCGCTGCCACGCGGACTAAATTAAAAATGTGGCACCGACAGCGGGGCATTGGGTTGGATTGGCATCATAAAAACCATGACGAGATGAGTTTAAATCCTCGCTGACTGACTAACTGAGTGACTTGGATGCAGGATCCGCTCCCGCCATCCCTGTGTGATTTTTCAATTAATTTCGTTGTCGTTTTTGTTGTTTGTGATGCTGCTGTTTGATTTTTTTGCCCTGTTTTTGCTGGTTCAGTGCCACAAAGTCGATCTCTTGTCGCTGACAGACATTCTATCGGCGGTCGATGGGCAATCCATGCTGGGCGGGAAATTGTTTTTCCATCGGCACCCCTCTCCTAAATTAGAAAATCATCGGCGCAAATAAAATGTGCAGTCAAAGCCAAAGTTGCACTTGGCCAAAAGGGGTGGTGCCAATGGAGTTTATGGATGGAATGGCCCGGGGTCAAGGGGCCAGCTGGTCAAGCTAAGTGCAATGCCTTGTCTCGCGACTCCGTTTTCGCCATTTTCACGCTCGACTGACTGGCTGGCTGGCTGGCTGGCTTTTCTTCTCCACTTTCCTCCACTTTCCTCCCTTTTCTAAATCTTTTTTGCTCCTCCTCTTTCCTTGCTCTTTTGTCCCTTGCAATTTGTCAACGCGTTTGACATCCCTAAAGACTTAAGCTGGCCAAGATTGGCCTGTCGGCCCGGTTGATGATGCGCTTATGCTAGTAAGTTGGGAATTATGATTTTCAGCCGGCAATTAGAAATTTTCTCCAATTTGATTGACGCCCCATGATTGGCTGGTAGAACCTAAGAGGTGCGAAGGGATCTGAAGTTTATATTCTGTATATTAGCATAATATCGGGAGCACAGAAGGATGGCGCAATTAGGCGAAGCCAATCATAAAAAATGCTTTTAAAACTTTCGACCAACTCGCATAAAAAGCTGCAGGAATGAAGGCCATCAAAAGGAGTGGTAAATGTGGCCACAAATGCATTTCATAACATTCAGGGCGAACTTTAACGACTTTTGAGAAATTCCGTATACGCAGTGTTTGTCTTGGAAGCCGTTAATTAAGGACTAATGAAGAACTTCTAAAACTAGGGTGGTAAAGATAAAACAATAAGAGAATAAAGCTGAAATGGCAAGATAATACGGTCATTATTTTCGGTTTTATTTTGAAAATTTGGTTTGCGGTTATGGCCACTATTTAATTGAACTTCACTCTCAAACCAAGCAAACGATTTTTCCGAGATCTTGATATTTTCTTTTCTTTACTTACCCACTGACCCATCAAGCTGCCTCATTTACATCACAAAGTAAGCGAAGACTTATTAAAATATTATAATAAAAAGTTTCCGACGGCCTGCAGCTGTTGTCGCCATCAGAAGAGAACACTGAAAGAAAGTTAGGTGTTTAAGGAAAGTGGCCACAATTCGTTAATTAATTTCATTAGTAGATGACACAAAAATCACTGCAAAGCACAATTTCATGGCGAAATCACTTATACGCCATCCTGCACTCATAAATAATTAATGCAGACATCTCTGGCGAAAAACAAATGAAAATTCTGATGATAACGGCTGTGGGCAGCCGGGAAAAGTGGGCGGAAAGCAGTGGTCCTAGTCCAGTGCCATATTGAGCGCATAAAAGGCTGCTAAACAGCGCGGCTCAGATTACCAGGCGGTTCCTGGATGGATGGGTGGGTGAACGAAGTGGGTGGCCTTCTCCATTGGTGCTCCGCAAGTGGCTCAAGTTCCACGCACAGCGGCGGTAAGCGGCATAATCAAAAATACTCAAAGAGTAATCAAATATTCCAAATTATACATAGCATGGTACATATTGACTAATGTGTGACATTGATATTTGGAAATTGCAATTAGCAAGTGAGTCTAAGATTATGGACGGCAGTGTAACTCATTTTCGTACCACCACTGTACATGGGCTTAGCTTCGCAGAACTTATCATTATTCATGCTAAAGACTTAACGAGCGCGAGCTTGGGTTGCAGGTTGCGGGTGGTGGGGCCGTCTTATCGCAACTATTACCGCAGCTGGAAGTCGCCGCCTCCACCTCCGCCTCCACCTCCGCCTCCGGTTGCCGTGGCCGGAGTTGGATTTGCGCATTTTCATTACTCTTATCCCCAGAGCTCCGGCATCTTCGCACACCGTCCTTTCGGCCGCTCGTTCCAGTTTTTTCTCGTTGGTGTTATTGTCATTGGCATAATCCAGAGGGAGGATGGGTGGTGGATGGGCTGGTTGGGTGGCTAGGATGCCATGTGGAGGCTGGGAGCCCCGGGTTAATCTTCAGATTTTCGGTGTTGTCGCTTTTACGAGCCACTTGCCGCTTCGCCAGCATCGTCTTTGGCCATTACAACAACGACAACGGCAGAAGGGACATATTATTATGGCAGCCATTGTTGTAATTCCACATCGGTTCGTGTTTCTTGGCTTTCGAGTGGGTTTCGCCCATCCTTGCCTCACTGCGTCCATCGTCCTTTGTCCATCGTCCTTCGCCTTCGTTTCGGGCCATTGTCTTTAATATTTGCTCGGCAATTCCCATTTTAGTGGCTTTCTTTTATTTCCCACCGCCCGCTGGGTAAACGTCCTTAAAGCAATTCGACTAATAAATTATTTTATGAAAGTGTTAACTTGGCAAATTTTCATTTCATTCCTGGGCGCTGCATTATTAACAGGGGCATTCTATAGGTGCTATGTATATGCCATGAGCGACATCATAAAGTAAACTAATTAGAAAGCTTTCTTGGATCTTTGCAAGGCTCAGCGCCGTCTTAACTGGGCTAAGACAAACAAATTTGTGACTCCGAGGCGGATTTAATTGGGATTAGGGGCTGTGGTGGTGGGAAAGTTATGCGGTTTTGGCCGAAAAATAGGGGGTTTTATATTTGCTTAGGGCAAGAAAGTTACCTGTTTTGATTCCAAAGGCATTGCGCTGTCAATAGAAGTGTCTGGATCATTTCTTGATAAATTGCCTTTCAAGAAACTGGTTAATTGATTCTTGAACTCCTTAATGACATTTTTCTAGCAGTAAAGTTTCAAATAAATTACCCTCTTAATTGTAAAATGTATAAAATGCCAATGTATTAATGTCAAAGTCTGCCAAACTTGTCTAATTATCAAAGTTCACACAAAAAGTCGTGGCGCAAAGCAAAGTTATCGAATATTAAAAAATAAACAATAAACAGCTTCAGATGGTTTGTACCCTTTAAAGTTTATTGTAGAGCACCGAATTCTAAGAAACAGGAATCGTGATTTTCTGCTCGCCTGCTTGGTTTTCAGACTTCACTGGAAAATTCCTTCCTTACCTTCTATGGAACAAAGGAACTTAGAGGGACAAGCGAGTCCCAATAAATCGCATTACCAGGGTCTGACCGTAATAACCATGAGACATTGAGACCATTGCAAGTATCTACTTTGGAGTTCGAAAGTTGAGGATGCATGCAAGCTTAAGGAGATCGGATGAAAAGTAGGGGCACCAGAGGTTCATATATGTTCATATGTTTCCAGTGTACGCCTAATTAGACCTCCGAAACTGGCCGGGCATGTTGCCTAATGCTGGAATTGTGTGCATTGTTTTCCCATTTGGGGTGGAATCGAACGGAAATGGGTTCTGCCGGAAAAATAGTTTTCTGTTTTCCTCTTTTGGCCTTCGCTTTGGTCGAAATACAGCGTGTGCTCCCTATTGTCTGAACATTCCAGTTCAGGTCGTCATTGATTTGACTTGATTGGTATTCATTGAGATTCAGGCAAGGAAGCGGAGCCCATTGTACCCGTCTAATAATCAACGGGGCGTGGATTATAGAAGTCCTGCAAGTATCGATGCCTCATTTAATTAACGATTGCCACACGGATGAAGGGTGGATTCGAGTGGAAGACAGGAAGCATCCTGCTTATTACACAAGCTCATGTTTATGCAAGGAGTGTGTGTGCGCTGGTCCTTAACAGGTGCTTACCATGTAATCCTGCGTGATGTATTCGAATTAGATGCGAAAGCCACTTGCCTTCCTTGCCGAGTTCAAAGCAATTAATTCTATGTACTTGAGCAGCCATCAATCCACAAACCCCCTAAAATCTTTCCCTTTCGCTCTCTACCATTCCAGAGCAAATTTGGGCCACTGAATTGGACTTTGTTGTGATCAATCGACGCAATTTGATGGCCATGTCGGTGGTGGGAGCCACACCCTTTCCCAGGCAGCACCAGCAGCAGCACCACCAGCATGGCAGACTAAACTTTACCGCAAACAGCTTGGAACAGGACGAGGAGGACTACTTCAACGATACCATGTTCACGGCCATCCGAGGAGTGCCAGCCGGGGGCAATAACAATTTGTTCGATCTGCGACCCGATAAGATGGCAAACGGCAGAAAGGCGGCCAAAACCACGGCGACGACCAGGACAACAACCATCACCAACAAACTGGATGCGGGCAAGGGCCAATACTTTGAAGTGCCCGATTTAATTAATCAAGACATCGACGAGGAGGAGCGCCAGGAGCTGGAGGAGGCGATTCGAGGCGAAGAAGATGATGGAGATGAGGGTGTGGGTGTCGGCGAAGGGGGAACTGTCATTATGCCAGATTTCGATGAGTTGCCGCCAAGAACCGCAGTTGGAACGACCACCACAACGACTAAGGCGAACTCCGATGCGGACAAGTTGAGTGAGGAAAATTGGCAACAACTGGGAACTCTGGGCAAAGGGGCCGCGTCCAGCAGCTCCAGTAGCACAACATCCACCACAACAACAACTACGACAACGACATCGACCACTACAGCCACAACAACAAGTACTAGGGGAACCAGCACCACCACCACTATTAAGCCTACGGAGATGCCAACCAGCAGACAACCAGCACATCACCATCATGGAAAATCCCGCAAACACCACAAGCATCACAATAAACAGCGCCCACAGCAGCCACCGCGTCGCCATCATGTGGCCTCCCACGAGCAGGCGATCCTCGAGAGCTTTCCGGAGGAGGAGACCACCACGCGCGACAGCAGCATCCACCGCGTAAAGCCCGAGGTGCTGCCGGAGCTACCGATTCCCTCGACGCCCGTCTCGGCCTCCAACTCCAAGATCATTGCCATCAAACCGAAGAACCAGAAGCGGCGGCTTTCCAAGCGGGCAGCCGGCGTTGAAATCGAGCCGGAGTATCTGCTCGGCGATGCCAACATTAATTCCAGTGAATTTGTAGCCAAATCGAATGAGGAGGAGCCCGAGGAGAGCGAGGACTTCGAGCTGGAGGATGGTGATTTTCAGGCGGTGCCCGCTCTGACTCCCGCACCTCCTGTTGCTCCAAACAGTCCGAAGGCCGGGCAGGATTACGTCCGACTGGATGGCTTTGCCGGAATGTTGCAGCTTTTCTTTGGCATTGATAAACCCATCGATGTGGCAATTTTCTCCCAACCACCCAGCGCCGAGTTCGTGAACTTACTTTGCGCCCTGTTGGTGTGGTCCGTTCGGTATCCGGCCGTTTTCTGGAATACCTCGAAGGCCTTTGCCTGCGTTTTCAGCCTCCAGATGGTGGTGGCCGCCCTGGACATCATACTCGGCTATGTGGGCATCTCGAATCTCTACAAGCTACAGATCTACGCCGAGGCCATGCCGGTTCATCAGCCGGGGCTCATCCTGAACGCAGTGGTCACTTTGGCATTGTATCTTTTGTCCACCACTCTGGTGCTGGCCTCTTCCATGGTCATGTACCTGTACGGACACGGACGACTGGCCACCCGGATGCGGGATCGCTCCATCATTACGCTGAAGAGCCACCAGACCTGGATCTACTTCGCCCACTGCGCCTCCTTGTGCTTCGTCCTTGCCTTGGCGGTGGTCAAGGCTCCGCTGCTCAACGATCTCAGTGCCACCTACAAGAACAACCTGCACTGCCCCACCTTTCTAGCTGGTGAGTAGAATATAGATAAGGTTCTAAGGGATCTAAACAATCTACCAAATTTGAAATGTATATTACTAGGAAATGGGTAAAGTATGCGGAGTTAAATATTATTGGGGTATACTTCACTTAAAATTAAAGAAATGTATTCATTTTTTAGAAAAACTCATCATAATATTCGGCCTGTAATAGCTAGAAAAATATTTAACTAAATGTTGCTAAATCTTTTCCTGCAAAGTTAACCATGCGGATGAATAAAAAATGAATTAGAAATACTATGGATTTGGCTGCCGTTAAGTCTTCGTCAAGAAGTGGAAGTTTAAGTGTCAGCCCCGTTAAAAGCGATAACTTCAGATTATGATGTTTTAGATAGAGGGGTAGTGAGCAAATCTCCGCAATGTCCGATTCCCCAATCGATTAAGTGTTAGATTTGCATAATTAGATGGCCGGTAATCGGGCACCGGAGACGCCTTGAACTCGGTCTTAGGTATGTTTTGTGGTCTAAGCCAATTAGCGGCCTTGTTTGGACGCTGGCTCTCCGTCGGGTGAGCGGTAATCGGGGCTTAGATAGCCCGATGAGACAAAGGAGCCGTATTAAGTGTCACTGGGGGCGAGACAATCGAACTGCAGCTCGGTCCAATTAAGCTGTCATACGGCCGATTGCCGCCTTAACCGTATTACGCTTTCACCTGGGCAGCGTCACCATCTCACCTTTCCCCTTCGATTTTGCAGCTCTTGTCGGAGTGACACACCTGCTGCTATGGATTGTCATCTGGCTCTGCCTGACCATCAAGCGGCGCTGGCACTTTAAGCTGCCCCCGCTGGACAGCACTTACGGCGGACTGCTGGGCAAGTCCAGCGCCCAGCCGCTCCTGATGTCCAGTGGCCAGCGCACGGGAAGCAACTCGAGCAGCAGTGGCTGCAACTCCACCAGCACCACGGTGAATGGTGGCGACTCCAAGCCGGACATGATGAGCACGGCCACCAGCACGGAACTGGGAATGGGATTGGGTGGGGGCATTAATGGGGGCATGGGCGGCACGGGCATGGGACTGGCCGCCCAGGAGGACATATACTGGCCCAAGCTGACGCCCAGTTCGCCCAAGCTGAAGGTCACCTTCAACGAAGTTACGAGTACGTCTGATGATGTCCTACTAATTGGTGACCAAGAACAAACTGATGGCAAGCGGTAAAAAATCGTTTTTTAGCTACCAACAACCAAAACAACAAAAGCATTGCGGGTTTCCAAGCTCCGTACTTGTCCGTTCTCTTAACTCTAACCATAGCAACTAGTTTCATTTGTTTTTTCTTCACACACACACACTGCACCGCCAAAAAAAAAAAAGCAAAAAACCACCCAGCACTTTTTTTCAGGAATTTCATGTGATTTTGTGTTTTCGTTCTTACCTAGACTGCTAATTCATTCATTTTGCACTTTATTGGTGTGTTTCCTCTGCACGTCCCATTGTCGGGAAGAGCCATTATTGAAAACTAATTGCCCAACACTAGTCATTAGTGGTGCGTTTTGCCACACCAAATTTACCCCACATTTACCAGCACTGTACTCTCAGTTTTAGTTTCGATTCGTGCGTGCTTCTGACATTCGCCCATTTATATAATCACTTTTGTGTTTTCGTTTAGTTTAAGCATTTGTTTGTCCACTAAAACGATTGTTCAATTAAACATAGCAAAACGATTTATCCATATATGTTCGTATATATCCATAGAGAGACATGTATGTATAGAGGATGAAGGATAATAATGAGAAACTATTTTGTTCCGCTTGTCGCCTGTTTTTTAAAAACGATTCTTATTTATTTTATTTTTAATTGTTTGATTTACTAGAACTTAATTACTACTAACTCTAGCTAATTGAGTGTGGGCGAATTGCATTTCAATTAACAATTAACTACTACTAAAACAAAGCGTTCGCAGATTATGTGTTGTTGTTGTCGATGTCGCCGTGTTGTTGTTGTTGTCCTTGGTAATTTGTTTAACTAACTGGAAAACCATTGAACTAACACAGACAGTGTTGAAACGAATTCCAGGGAAGAGAATGGATTTTAGAGGTCTGTGAAAAAGCTTCAGTAATTGGATGGATAATGAAGAATATTACCAGTTTGTATTACCAACTTGTACTACAAGAAATTTCAATTTAAATAATCTGAACTAGGAACAAACTTAATTAATTAATTAATTATCTTTTTTGTGATAAGCAACATAAGCTTAATTGGTTTTATTATAATTGTGGCCTATAAAGAAACAATTTTACATTTTTATAGCCGACAAGAGGCTACTTTTCAACCATTTTCTTACATTAAATGTTTTTTCACTTATTTTCACAACATGAGGCCTTTAAAATGCAGAGTTTTCAAAATGATTCGTTTCCTTGGGCTCGTTCTGATCCCCGAGGTGCCGGACAGACCTGGTGGCAACCAACACAAGGCGGCAATTTAATTTGGTAGTATATCATCCACTGACCGGATCCCCTTCTCCTCCAGCCATACGAGCCGTGGAGCCTCGGTATGTTTTGCCAGTGCTGCGGGGGAAGTTGACGACGGCGAGTACGCGACACTAAGAGCAGCCACCGCCGGGGCCGTCGTGGGCATCACCATGGGCAGCATGAAGAGGGGCGTCAGCAACACCTCGGTGGGGGTTAGTCTGCTCCACCTCTCCGAGTACGACGAACTTCCTCCGCCGCCGCCGGCCAGCCATCACCATCAGCAGCAACATCAGCAGCGGCAGGCCCACTCCTTTGCCCATGGAAATCCCCACGACTATGCGAACCTGAGCGGATTGGGTGGCATCAGTGACGACAACATCTCCGAGGAGGGCAAGCTGCTGGCCTGTGTGCGCGATGACAGCATCACCTACGCATCCACCAGGGATCTGGAGCCACCACAGCCGTCGGCCCAGGTCCAGGCGCCGCCACCACCTCCACCGCTGCCCATGAAGGGAGCTCCCGCTCCTCAGCCACCAGCAGTAATGCCCCACTCTGCCGGCATCTACGGACGCGCTCCTCAAGCAATGCCCGAGATGATGCAGTTGTCGCCCGAGCACCACCACAATCCACTTCAGCATTCGCTGCAGCATCCACAGCAGCATCCTCTCCAGCAGCAGCAGAAGCAGCAGCCACCTCAGCATCCTCTCCAGCAGCAGGGCAATCCGCACCAGCATCTAGTCAGCCCCTTGGCTCCGGTCACGGTCGCAGTTCACACCAACGAAGCGCATGTAAGTGGAGGATGTGGGTACAAGTGAGGCTTCAAACTACAGGTGGATGCTCTGATAAAATCGGGCTTATTTTAAATAATTTAATTCAACTAGGGGGGAATTTTTAGTATTGATATTATTTTAATCAGGATCCTCTTATTGTAAAGCTTTTAAAAGTAATTCATGCACTTACCAAAAGAGCTTAACGATTTTGAGAGTGGGGCTGCATAGTTTACATAATGATTCCCCTTAGATTTTGCACTGAAGTTCCCCTTGCCAATGCAACAAATTCCCAGACATTTAGGCGTACCCACAGCTAGAGTACTTCCCTTTGGCATAGTGTACTGCGGATATTTTTGTGCTCTTGTTTGGGTGATTTGCATGTGGGATTGCAGGGAGGCGATGCGTCGTCGTGTAGGGGCGTGTAGCATGTCACGCCCCTGGACCAGCAGGCTGAGATTTATGTTTGCTGTTATGAGACAGCATAAATCAGTGCCAGGGCCACAGACACGGGGACATGGCCTGGGGACTGGGAATGTGGGAATGTGGGGATCTGGTCTGGGGGACAGCGGCAGCGACACTGTCCGAATTAGTGCTCCGGTTTGATGGATGACCTGGTGGAGCAGGATGAGGCGCAGGGAACGAAGAGTGTCTGCCCGATTTGATTTGATTTCGTTTTCACTTGCAGGAGGGGCCACACTGAAGCAGAGCCCCTACTGTCATCTCCTAGAATCTCTCATTATCCCAGCAGCTCCTTGACCACTTTCACTGACTCCCTGCTCTCTCTCTTTTTATGTTTGTGCCCCATTCCCAGATTGCCTCCAGTTCCACACCCCGTTGCCTGCGTCGCGCCGATTCGGGCGTTCCCAACGAGGCGTTGACACCGCGCAGCGACACCACCTCCACCACCGAAAGTACCAACACCACCTCACCGCCGGAACGCGCCCCCTCCGAGTCCTCCAGTGGCGTCCACTCGGGCGAGGAGCGGGAGCTGGAGGTCATCATTCGGCCGAGGGCCAACAGCAAGCCGCCGCCACGCCCCCCACAGCCGCCCATACAGGAAGAGCCCTACGGTCGCTGCACCAACATGCGCATGTCCAGCTTCAATGCGGATCCCTCCGCCGCCTCATCGGCGGTCATTAATAGTGCCACACTGCCGCCGCAGCGTTCGGTTCCGGAGCAGAAGTTCGACTACACGGCTCACTGCAGCACGATGCCACTGCCGGTGGGCTGTCACAGCCAGCAGCTCGCCGGGAGCGGTAATGGCTACGCCTCCACCTCGGCAATGACCAGTTCCATGGGTGGTGGCGGTATGCCACCACTGCCGCCATCGCAGGTCTCCAGCTTCATGACGCCCAACAGTATGCACTACGCCAATGCCTCGGTGGCCCTGGGAAATGGAAGTGGTCAACAGCAGCCGCACACCACGCTGCCAAATGGAGTGCGCTACTCCAATCCGCACTTTCTGCGCCGCCTGCCGCACGTCACCAAGGCGGCGGAGTCGCCCTACGGACACCTGGGCTACGGAGCTGGTCACCACGCCTTCGCAAAGCTGCCGCTCGAGACGCATCCCACGATTCCGGAGGATCGCGACTCCGCCAACTACTCGATGGCCTCCGACCAGGATTGCGGACTGTATGTGACGGCCCAGCTGCACTAGGATGGCCAGGGATCCCACTTTATTTACACTATGAACTTAGACTTATTGCAAAGAGCATTGCGCACCATGTATTACCCCTTAAGTCATAAGTTAAAGTTTGATTGCTCTACGGCATGGAACATCAATGAGCATTGATTGCCGTGGTGCAATCGGTTTTTAAACCCATAGCCTTACCTACTTGCAATGCCGTAAGTCCCTATATCCCATAACGCTCTAAGTTAGCCTCTCGGTTTTTGTACAGCTCCGGGCCCCAGAGAAGCCATACCAAATCCACTAATCTTCCAAAGGATCAGCTGGTTACCGGACCCCAAATGAATTAAATTACTCTTCGTTTGCTTTGCCTTGACGACGATCCACTCAAGAGTGTAGCGCTAATTGCCACCCAGACGACCCACTAAAAAGAATTGAGAATTGAAGCTTAACTATATCTACATCTAAACTACACCTACACTTACGTCTACGGCTAAATCTAAATACAATATATATTTATATTTATACATGCTATGCTCGTATACAATGTGTAAGATAATAAGCTAATCGAGTTTAAGTAATCAATGTAAACTAAAGTTTATCATATCATATATGAATGAATATCGATAGCTAAGTGTAAGACCTAAGCAAATATTAATGCGAAAAGAATAAAATATCATAGCTCGATCATGTGCAAGCACTCAAAGTATTTCCCCTAAGCAATTTCTCTTATCAAACGAACGAAAATTGGAATGAACAGAAGGCATACGAATTTAAGCTGCAATTCTATGGTTTTTATTGTAAGGTTAATCTGTAAAGTGGTACATCGTAATTTTATGGCACTAACTAGCCAACACGTTATGCTTCAGCTAGTCGGCATAGAGGATAGACACCCAGCAAGGCTTTGGCATATGTATTTTCTATGGTCTCTCAACGCTTACCGTTTAAGATGAATGTAAAATGTAATGTAACAAAGCGACAATATGAACATTATCTAATGTATGATACGAATGAATACTATCCACGCCCCATACATATCTCACACGCACAAGACTTTTGACCTCATCCCTGTGCACCCAGTACACGCAATACACCCGCTTACTTGTTTTGATTTTTGTGCCCTGCGTAAGTAGATAAATGTACTCCTGTTTTGGATCGGAGCCACTAAGTGCTCTGGAATCATATCTGAAACAAAGACTAGATTCAGTTGATGACCCTTTTGGTGGAGCACTACCATGGCCGGTCGTATTTATTTTTGTTGTCAAGACTGATTAGTAATATAATACATTTTGAAAAGCACACCCATCACAGAACTTGAACGATCCGAAGTTGGCTTGAGAAATTCATAGCATTGATACGATAGTGGATAGGCCATAAATATAGTTTAGTATGTCATCATTAACTTGGTTCCTTTGAGAAACGCACTATACTAAACGAGATGTGAACGGTTAAGAAAGAAGACTTTTGTAAAATAATTTCCAATTAATTAAAGAATTATTCAAATGAAATATCCAAGAGAGATACTAAGTATGCCCCTTAAGAACATCATAAACACTTGAGTTATAACGTGGGTCTATTTTTTTGCGCAACAGAGAAAAATCTGTAAATGAATGTAAGGTTAAGCCCTGTATCCGATATGGCGCATGCATCCACAGACATTTATATTTCACAATATAAATTAATAAATGTTTAAATTATTTATATATACAATATACGAATTAAATGGTTTATCAATGGTAAATAAAGAATACCACCGCTTTATGTAAAATCCCAAAAACCGAATTTTTACTAAGGGTAAATGATACATGGGGGCCAATTTCAAATGCATATAAAAAATTATTTACTTTCCTGAAAAGATGTAATAAAACACACATTTATCCTTTATTAGAAAACAATTTTTAATGAATTTTCTTTTGTTTTGTTCTTTAAATGTTTGCTTTTCATTAAATTTTCTCTTTAGTTTTTAGTTTTACACAATTCAAGTTTCTGTGTTCATCAATATTAATAATGCTCCTCTCCGCAAATTTTAGTATAATTTTAGTTTTTGTGTTTTTTTGGTTTTTTGTTTTTACATATTCATTTCACAGTTTATTGTCGTTTCTCGACCTTCGATTGTTGTCGAGATATTAAAATACAATATAAGGTATTCGGGGCGCCCAACGAGAGCGCAGTCCTTTGCCTTTTTAATCAATTTTGTTCAACATTTGCAATAAATGATATATTCTCGTGTTGTTGATTTTGTGTCTCGTGTATTAACGTCGCCTGTCATTCGAATTGAACTTAGTAAATAGCATTTTGTTTCTTGTATTGGTTGCCTTTGAAATAACTTGCCGTAATATATCATTTGCTTCATTAACATTTTCTATATGCTTTTGTCTTTGTTGTGACTTAAATGTAACGAATTCTATAGGAATCCTAATAAGAATTTCTGGTATGACTGTACGGTAGAAATGCCCTCTACGAAATATTCCCATTGCACTATTGTTCAGCAATTTGTATCTATTTTAAGCCAATTGATTCCGGAACGGGCATTTAACGTCGACCTGGCCGAAGTTTATTACTTCTGTTCGTCCTTTTGCTGGATTGCTGAGTAATCAAAGCAACTTGAATGTTTTGCTGAAGGAGAGCAGTGGAAACAATATAAAGGTTTAGAGATAGAGAGAGTTTTATCATTAAAAAAGTTCGTATGGGGTTCGTGAAGAGCGGAGTTTACAAATCTGATTATCTATAATGTATGTATCTGAATGTATGTTCCTCTGACTTATATATCGTATAATTAGTTGCTGGAAACCTCGCTGGTAGTTTTACTTTTCTCAAATATCTAAAGCGCGTTATCCTCCTCATCTCCCAAATGCTCGATGCGCGACTTTTTTGTGATTTTTTTGCAGCAACATTTTGAATGCATTGTCCCTGTGTTTCGGCATTTCATTACGTATCTCTAAGTTGTTTAGTTCTGATATAGGAAGCTGCTGCTTGGATGGATATGCACATGTCAATATATTATTTAACTTCGCTTCAATCTGTATCTGTATCTGTATCTGCATCTGTAGTTGCGACTGTGTCTATGTATAGCTGTGTGTATCTGAATGAATGGACGGAAAGGTTCAACTGAATATCTGTAGCCATGAGTGAAAGCAAAAAAAGAGCACTAAACAACTGGATAGGAACAATAGCTAGGTGTCTCAAAATCCTCCATAGTAATCTCTCAGCCCTCAGCCCTCTGCCCTATGACCTAATTTGTATTTATAAAAGTTAACTGCTCCCATCCATCATCTGTCTGCAGGCCAGTGATATGTTTGCTTCTCCCCAGGAATGCATTGCAAAATGTTGCCCAAAAGAATGCCAAAAAAATATCTGAAATGAACTCGCAGTAAATTGCAAACTATTTTTGGTGTTCCGTTGCACTTTTCCATTTTCCATATATATAAATACGCTAATGTATGTACGTGTACGTGTGTCTTTGGCAAGCAGGTAACGATTTTTACAGCTCACACTATTAACTTGAAGGTACTTGATGCGTTTCGAGGCAAGTTGATTGGAACCAAGGCGGCAAAAGGATGCTAAAGCGACTAGTGAAGCGAGCTAGTGAGGGGAGCTACAACGAAATCGCGATATAGTTATTCATATATAGAGATAGCTTTCCATTGCTCTAGGTTAAATTAAAGGATACTTTCTGCCTCAGATACGTGTATGTTTAAGTCCTCATCGCCGACGTCAAAAACTCGCACATTTTGGGGTGACTGCGGAGTTTTTTAAGGTGGCGCAGAGCGAACCAAAAGCTATATAGCCTTAAATCGGGGAAGCGGTAGTTGGTTTAGTAGTCGGATTATCGGATGTGGTGTATATGTAACGTGTGTGGATCTGCTATGTACAGCTTAGGTTCAGATTTTGCATTATTAAGTTAAACTTTCTCGTCTTTCTGGCTTGGTAAATATTTGTTGTTCTTTTTGTTCTTCGATTAATACATATCTCAAGTCCCTCCTTTTAGTTACCTAATCTTAAGCTTTAACTTTATCGTTTTTATCGTAAGTTAGGCTTATTTAAGTGTTAGTGGTTCTTTGCTTGCTTAAACAGTAAATATATTTATGTATATATCGATTTATATATGTGTGTATATATACTTAAATAACTCCCGTCTCTGAAAATCTATAACTCCCTTTACTGATTTAGATTTAGCTATTTATTCAATAAACAATTTATATCCTTCTGCGTCGCTGCTCAGGCTAAGGCTTAGGCATACTGACACTAGCACTTGAACTTTATCCACCTTCTCTTGTTCTTTCTTCTTTGTTTTTTGGTTTTTGTATTTTTTTTTTTTGGTTTTTTACGCTTTTATCAGTAATAGTTTAAGTAATAATAATCGTAGTAATCGTATTACGAAAATAATAGTGATCTTAGGTGTGTAATAAAAATTATTTTAAATATGCATAATTTACAAGTATCCTTTTGTCAAATGTTATCCGTTATATATGTGTATATGTATATATAGACTGCCTCTACATTTATCATTTAGCTGTATTCCGTAGTTACGTTTTTAAACATTTTACTGAGTCTGCTCCGCGCTGCTCTTCTGTTCTCGGTTTTCGCTTCTCAGTTTTCGCTTCTCGGTTTTCGGTTCTCGGTTCATTTAAATGCATTTGTTTTCATGACTTATAAAAATTAGATATTTCTCTTCATTTATTTATATTTTGTATTCTTGCAAAGTCCTCCGCCGCCGTAGAGTAGAAAATCAACAGATGTGGACTTAGCTTGGGCCAGCGACCTGCCGAATGAGGATCGGGCGGCGTCCTCTGGGAAGCGCCGCTGCAGGATGTCCTTTGGTCCTTTGCTATTTGGCTGCCGGGCTGACAGCACTGGCGAATGGTTACTGCAAGGATACGCGGATCGATTAGCATGCAAGTTAACTGGGAGGGTGACTATCTGTGGGTGTTGTTAATCGTTTTTCGAACAAAGTGGGTTAGTAGCGGTTTCGATTTGAATCGGGTTTCATCTTTCGTTTGTGTAAAATGGCAAAGTGGCGGAATGTGTGTTTTTTTTCTTTTATTAACGATTATTTTAGCACTAGGGAGTAAGCTTGAATTGACTTAAATTGATATTGGTATTGATTTGGTGCACTTACTGAATTCAGTTCAGTTTTAAGTTCGCTTGAATTGAATTGTGCTTGGGTGCTTAAAGTGTTTTCGTTGAGGTGGCTGTTTGTTTGGGTGTCGTTAGTGTTGGAAACTGTTATTCGCCCGGCTCCTCCATAATGACTGATTCGCCGGCCCAAACAATCGGACGACCCTGGTGTGGTTTCAAAGTTGGTTGGTAACAGCACTGGTATTTCGTATATCATTGCAATAGGTTTACAAAAGAGCTAGGCCTAGAAAACTGCTATATTATGTATGCATGTGTGTTGGGTGTTGTTGACTAGCCAGGATTTGCCATTTTATGTTTCGAAATGTAGTTATTGTAGGTGTGTTTTAGCAAAGCTAAGTCGAACGGTGGCGTTAGAGCAATTGAAAGCAAAATATTACGCATACGTAGTGTGGGTCGCAAATTATAATGATTCAAAATGGTTCAACTGGATACTTAACTACTCATGCACTAGGAAAATGCTAAGCAAAACGGTTTTGGGTTCGGTTCGGTTCTAGAAAATTGATTTTGATTGGGTAGTTGGGGATAGAGAAACATACCTATATGAGTATTATACGAGTCTATGTGAAAACTACGTTGAAGTAACGGTAACTTTAACGGTAACGGTGATTTATGGTGACTTGCGAAAAGTTATTTTCGTATCAATTTGGTATTGCAGTTTGGTACTTTGATTGGTTTGCTTTCGATCAACTCTCCATTCAATGTTTCAGTTTCAGTACACAATGCGAATTGGTTCATTCTACTTTGCCTCATGGGAGCAGTGTTTTTGTGAGTTTCCGTGAGTTTAATAAGCTTGTCATTTACAGGAGTGCGTATGTATATTGTATGTGTATATTGCTAACTAAAAACAACAAATGCTTTGATGTTCGGTATAGTATCGGTTTAATTTCAAATTGGTTGGCTGGACCGTTCAACTGATCTTTTGAGATTGGGATTTCTTTTTACAGGTGTTTAGGACTGATTACGCTACAAAGTTAAATAGCTTTTGTTCTTGGTAACTTGCTATGAACAAAACGTTGAGCTAAATACTATATAAATATATGTTCTGTGTGGACTTATATAAATATATGCAAGTGTTTTTTGTTTATCAAATTTGCGATTTGCGAAATTTCTATTTTACTCTTGTTTTTGTATTCTTGTACGATTCGATTTTGAAATAATCTGGTTTTTAGTCGAGTTTCAGTTTAGTTTAGTTTAGTTTAGATCTAGAGTTTGAGTGAGTCGAGTGAGGCTATGGATGAGCGCCTAGAGCCTAAGCCTATATTAGTGGGACAACTGACCAGTGAGGTGGTGCCAAAGAGCTTGTACCAGCCGATCACGATATTCGACAGATTCAGATCGTCGAGCATTATCTGCGCCACGCCCATAAACACCTTCTTCTCGATGCGGCCATAGTCGCCCCACACGGTAATCTGTAACACAGTGAGTTGAAAATTTGTTCAAAAATTAATGACAGCTCACCTGTAGTATGCAACCGGTGTAGGACTGCTTGAACACCAACTGCTGCTGGTACAGTGGATCTAGGGTGCGTCGAGCCGAGGAAGTCTTCATCTTGTCCACGCAGCGCTTTCCCGACACCAGGTACACCTTTACATACGGAGCAGGCAGCATTTTTGACTGCGCTTTTTGCTGGGGATCGCAAATCAAGAGTTAGTTAGCCAGAAGGAGTTACAAGTAGCCTGCCGACCTACCTGCAAGCCCCTGGCTCGTATGACCTCCACCTCCAGACAGCCCTTTTGGTGGCACAGCGACAGCTGGATGTCGCCCAGCGAGGGAGCTCCCAGCACCTGGCGACCAACCAGTTGACCAGGTCCCAGGCCATCCACGAACTCATTGAGGGCTCCATCGTTGCGCAGCGAAGGGGAGAATCTATGTAAGGGGATCGGGGATGCCGAGGGTGTTTGGGTGTGGGGTACAGTAAAGAAAGCACTTTAGTACAGCGTCGTTGGTGATGTTTCTTTGTATCATCTCTCATCTCAAGGTCTTGTTTAAATTAGGTAACGAAATTTACACAAAGAAAGGAATTTGGTTTTCAGAGAAAGAAATAACTCTTTATACACAGGGAGTTGTAGAAAGACAGTAGATGTTGTAGTTTCAGTTGGTGGTTGCGATCGCAACTGTTATGTGGTCTGAAATGGATCAGTGTGGTTGGTTTCGGTGGTGAAGGTGATACTAAAGTGATATTGCTGGTGGGTGCGGAGGAGAGAGACTAGTGGAGACAAAGTTCGATGGTGGCATGCAAGTGTCTTTCGTTTCGCGGAGCAAAAGTGCAAAGAAGGTAAGACTAGGACAAGGAGTTTTCTAGCCGAAGCCTAAGTTCTCAAGAGATTAGTTTTACGATTTACAAAGCTCTGATTAGTGATCGGCTTACTATAACCCTTCATTTACACACACATCGATAGGTGAGGATATCTTGTTATATACATATATATATACTATAGATATTGCTGAAAATTATAGTTAAAATGAAGTTAAAAAATCACAAGTTATACACATTACAAGGCAGAAAAATACACAAACAAGTCGAAGAATCAAACGGAACTCAAGTTAGGAAAAGTGGAATACACTTAGAGAAAAAATGCACGCAAATGCAGGCTGGCTTCAGCGGTTTGTTTTTACTTTTAAGGCGCACGCATATAGACATCGATAAAAGAGAGTTGCAGGATGAAAAAGTTTTGTTACACAGGAAAGTTGGAGATGGGATCGCCACACAGATTACCATATACATAAGCCAATGCATAGAGTTTTAGATTGAGCTGGACAGTCGGAGTGTGAGAGCATAGAGTCAGAGTCAGAGTCAGAGTCAGATATTCAGATATTCAGAGATACAGAGAGAGCAACAAAGACAAAGACAGAGGCAGGCAAGATAGAGGTCCTTCGGCCGGAAAGGTGATACTAGACTTGATAATAGACTTGCTATGGCCAAGCGGCCATGCGGATGCGATCGGGAGACTTACGATGAGCCCTCGGAGCTAGTGATCGAGTGAATGCTGCCGGCACTGTAACGGGTCACCGGAGGCACCGGCGGCACCTCCACCGACCGCTGGATGCTGCCCGCCGAGCCGCGCGACTGCCGCTGGTGGTATGGATGTGGTGGTGGTAGTGTGATATGGTGGTGACCAGCGGAGCTGGTCGAGCTGCCTGCTATTGCGAACTGTGCCTGGTATTGCTCTTGCTCTGCCGGAGACAACAAGACATATTTATACGGATGTGGTATGTGTGCGCGTATATACAGGGCGTGGTTGGGGTTTGGTCAATAAGATGATCCTATCATGTAGTATCTAGACATTCAACAGCTATAAGGTCGAAATATACAGGCCCACTATGTACAACCTTTGGCAATTTCGCTACTTTTGGTTCACCAATGAAATGTGATACATCTAGAGATTTCTGGATATTTAACTAGATTTTTGGCATAACTCTGTTATTTTAGGTACGTATCTTACACAAGTCAGTTTAGATCTAACAACTCTATAGCGACGATGCAGGGCTTGGTGAGAAAGTGACGCTGGGCTCTTGGAAACCACAAATCTCGAACAGCGAAGCCCCAAAAGGAGAACGGGACAGAGTAGAGGCGTAAACGGAAATTGGAATACAAAATTAGGGGTAAAATCAAGCGAGAACTTTAACTGAATAACCATAAGAACAAAGATTTCAGAGAACACATTATACGTATATATATATATTTATATATCAGCGAGAAATCATCGAAACTAGTGGCGTAAATGGCAACAACTATTGCGATGTATTGCTAGAAACTCAACCCGTCTGGTTGTGTATTACACATCTAGTATTTATAGAGTGTTGAAGCTTTCTTGTGATTTATTTATATTTACTATGCACTTTTTGTTCCACTAATATCGAGTGCAATGCGAATTTTGTTTGCGTCTTGATTTTTGGCCAATTTGCTGATGATGTTACTGGTTGTTGATAATGCAGCTGTTGTTTGAGCTACTTGTTGTTGAATTTGTGGTGTGTTGGTTGTTGATTGTTGTAGTTGTTGTTATTGTTATTGTTGTTGGATGTACTTTGACTTTCTGTGACAGAGCTCCCTGTATACATACTTAGTTATCCGAATCGTACTTGCGATAAACATAATCGAACTGAAGGAGAATCTTTGCGGGAGGCAGATGATAAACATTAGTTCGTTGGCTGAAGAATCGAGGTCTCTTTTTTTATTTTCTTTAATACAGGTATATATTTTTTTTAATTTTGTTGGAAGGGGGTAGATTCTGCGCGGTTGTGTGGATGGACTCCGTGTTGGGGATGTAGACTCTTACCGCTTACAACAAAAAGCCGTAGCTGAAGCCAAGTAACTGGCTTTAGCTTGAGCTGTGGCGATAGCTTATCGATATAGAGGCTGCAATAGAGTGGTAGTAGCTTGGTATGTCGAGTACGAGTGGTTACGAGAGAGAGTATATAAGTAGGTATAGGTTGGCTTAACTCAATGCATGCAAATCGAATAGAACGCTAGGATAATAATAAATGTTTTGTGGCTTGGTAATACAAAAATGGCATTAGCAATCGGTACGGCTTAGGTTAGTAATAGTAAATAGAGTATGCGGCTACGAAAGTAAAATGCAAATGGGGCGCAGCCACATCGACGCACAGTGGGTGCGAAAAGTGTGTGCCACGTGTGCGCACAGGCGAAAGCTTTGCTCAAGAGCCGGCATTTTCCGGGAAAACTGCGGATGGGCAAAGCTTTCGGTGTGCCCCGCTTCGTTTTAAGGTGGTTCCCCCTTTTCTGGGGGATACCCCTTGCAAGCCTAAAAATACGTATCGACTTTGGATTGGTTTGTTGGTTCTTGGTTTGTTGGTTTGTTGGTTTATTTGGGTTGTTCTGGTTCTGGTTCTGGTTTAATTTGTATTGCTGCGCCTGCGCTTTAAAGGATATCGGAAATCATAAAACAAGTTGACTTGGGAAAGGCGGGCTACGTTAAAAGTTACTTTAAAGTTGGACATGCCTGCGAAAAAGTATAGACACAGAGAGCTTTGGCTGAAGCTTTGCAAAGAGCGCGCGCGAAAAGTCAGAGAGCGAAGTGAATGAAAAGCTCTTACATCTAGGGATTGAAGGACTAACATCCTGTGTGCTGAACGGGGATTTGTATCGGGTTGGGGTTGCTGTTACCGGTACTGTACTGTACTGTACTGCCTTACGCTTACTGATACGACTAATGTTTATCATCTCAATCGACTGCCTTACTGGCATGGGCTTCACTCGTTAAACAGCTTCGTTTTCCTTCTCCAAAAGGCAACTCAAAACTTAAAAAGAAAGTCACAAAACGATAAGAAACCGAAAAGAACTGATAGCATAGCATAGTAGAGTAGTAGTTTAGAGTAGAGTAGAACAGAGTAGAGAGAAGATAGCTTGGAGTAGAAAGTTGGACTTGTGCGCACCTTTCCCCGCCGGCACCATCGCCGAAGAACTGCTCGATGGCGTCCGCCTCCGAGGACGAGCCGCGGGACAGGCCGCCCCCGCCGGCACCACCTGACCCACCGGCGGCACCACCGGCACCGCCGGCACCGCCGAGACTGACGCCCAATCCGCCACCGGTTCGCAGTTCCCGCGTTATATCGCCGGGCAGCACTTCTTCGCTGCGGTGCACCGTGAACGAGTTCTTACCCTTCTTTCCAAAGCCCATACGTCTTTTACGACCTTCGAGTATGGCATTTTACACATTTTAGTATTCTTAGTATTACTTAATAGTTCGTTAGTTTGGTTAGCTGGGCTATGGCTATATGGCTTTGGTTATGGTTATGGTCATGAGTTGGGTTACTGGTTAGTTGTTGGTTGGGCAAAAGAAAAATCGAATAGCAAAGCAATGGGTCAAAATAAGGAGATAGATGGCTGCTCCTGGAGGAAATCAAGTTCCCAGCTGAGCCTACGAATAACTGGGAAAATGATGCACTGATGGACTGATTGATTGATTGACTGGCTGACTGAGCAACTCAAGGCAACGGAACGAGAACGGTTAACGAGCGCAAACAGAGAACGGAACAAATTCGCCCTACCTGTGGCCGAAAGCTGCGAGGTGGAGTTCGACTTCTTGCCCATGCCGCTGCCTCCTTTTGGGGATCGCTCCTGGTCAACGCCGCCGCCCTTCTTCCGGTCGTTCGCGGTGTCCGAGAGGCTGCCATCTGCGGAGGAACATTAAATACACTTTGAAGATAATGTATACCCAAAGGCATTGTTGTTGCACAAACGATGCTCTGTTTTTTAGTATAGTTGATGCTTTATACTTGTTAAGGATCTCTAATTTACTAGCTTTCTAGCTTTGGTTTTATGCCCTTTTGTTCCTTAAAATCTTGGGTGAGTGTCAGGGGTGGTGTTCCCCACAAGGTCGCCTTCTACTCACCGACTTTGTCTTCGGCACCCGCACCCTCCGCTGACTTGGAGCCACCAGCCTCGTCGGCGCCGTTCTTTTCCTTGTCGTACTCGCTGAAGTCGTCGTCCAGCATGGCGTCGATGGCATCCCAGTCGATGGCGTCCAGCGGAGCATCCGCGTCCGCGTCCGCATCCGCGTCGGCATTAGCGTTCGTTGTTGTTGTTGTCGTTGTTGCGTTTGGTTCGTTCGTGTTATTCGTTGTTGTTGTTGTTGGATTTGTGGCAGTTGTTGTAGCATTTGTTGCATTTGCGGTTGTCGTTGTCGCCGCATTCGTTGCATTCGACGATGTTGTGGTTGTTGTTGTTAATGTGGTTGTTGGGTTCGTGTTTTGATTTGTGCATGTATTTGGTGGTGGTTGTAATTGTTGTAATTGTTGTTGTTGTGGTTGTTGTTGTTGTGATTGTTGATGTGTGGCGTCGAGCGTCAGGTTGTTGGCGTCATTTATGGTGTTCGTGTTTTGTTGTGGTGTTGATGATGGGGCACGTTTGTTGTTGTTGAGATTGTTGGGTGATCCATGAAGTTGTTGTTGTTGTTGTAGTTGTTGTTGTGGTGGTGGTGGTTGGGGATTTGCAAAAGAGGAAGAAGAAGCATTATTAGCATTAGTACCACCGACGACAAGATGCCCAGCAGCGGCAGCAGATGTTGCACCACCGCTCCCACTACTAGATTTCGTCAGCTGCTCCGATGCCATCATCGATCCGCTCATGGCGGTGGTGCCTTCTTTCCCTTTTTGCCTAACTGATTGTTGTTGTAATTGTTGTTGTTGTTGTTGAAGTTGTTGATTGTGAATTTGGCTAACACTAACACTACTCGCTTGGCTATTGTGGTGGTTGGTGTGGTGGTTGCTATTGTGTGTACTGGTAGTGTTGTGTGCACCACCGCTACCCATTCCGTTGCCCTGTTCCACCATTCCCGCTGTCGCAGCATTCAGCCCGTCCATTCCCGATCCCGGCTCCATTGGTGAAAAGTTGTGGGCATTCTGCGCACTGGGCGGATGCGGCAGATTCCTTCGACGCTTCAGATACGGCGCCGCCGGTCCGTACAACTTCTGTTGGCTGGTTCGCTGCAGATCCAGCGACATGTGGTTCCTGGGATCCGCCAGTCCGCGTTGTCGGTGAGCTCCGCGAAAGAGCGATGGAGCCACGCCCCGTCGCGTCCAGCCCACATCCGAGTCGTAGGTAATGGTCACTATCTTGTCATCTGTCACCAGGAAATGCGAGTGACTCAGCGGATGGTTGGCATCCACATTTGCACCCATATAACTCTGTCGAATATTGGTCTCCGATCCGTAGCGTCGCGACATCGCCGTCGTGGGTGAATGGCTGGCATATGGATTCGGGTGGGGATAGGGATAGTCCCCAGACGAGGGCATCACCTCGTCCTCGTACCGAATGCGACGGCGACCCCAGCTCTTCGTGTGCAGATCATCGTAGTCCAGCGACCGGGATTGTCCTTCGTGAAAGAGTCGCCTTCGCTCCAGCTTCGGTTTCTTCAGGATCGAAGTTGGTTGCGCCTTGGCCTCCGAAATGGGAACGGCGGCCACGAGGGCATCTTCGCTCAGCTGGCGCGAAAGGCGCAGCACCGACTGCGTGGGCGGTGGTGCAGGCGTGGCCATTTGTCCCCTGGCACGCCGATGGGCATTCGGAGTGGGCGTGTGAACGTGGTAAGTGGGAACCACGCCGAGATTCAGTTGCGGTCCCGTTAGCCCGCCCAGAAAGTGCTGATCCACACACTCGCCGCACATCGCAGGATCCGAAGTGGGTGGCTCCCCGTAGCCCATGGGCTGGTGCTGCGGGTGCGGATGGGCATCCGCCAGACAGCAGGGATCCTGGCAAGCGCCGATCGCCAGACCGGCGGCGGTCAGGTGAAGGGTGTGGTGGGTCGACAGCACCACCGGCTGACTTCCATTCTGGCAGTGGCTGCAGCTCTTGTCCTGGTGGTCGCGCACATAGCCCACCAGCGAACTGGGCGTAGTGGAGGCGTGGTCGTGGGCGTGGGCGTGGGGGTGGATGCCCGCGGGCGAGGAGCTGCGGAAGAAATTCGTGATGGGCGTGGTAATGCGCTTGAATTGCTCAAAGCTCGGCAGCAGCGGCAGCGGATAGGCAGCGGCGGTGGCTTGTACGTTCGGTTTCTGTCCGTTGGACCGTCGTGGTGGATAGATGGTGTCGATATCGATGTCGAATGGCTGTGGTGGCAAATGGGGCGATGGCGAGTAGAAGACGGAATGTGGATGCAGATGCGCATGGGGATCGAGTGGATCGAGTGGCTCCATCATCTCCTCGGCCATTGTGCCGGGCTCAACGTAGAATTGTTCCACCAGCTGGCCGCTATTGGCATCGGTCACCAAAACCTGGTGAGGTGGCTGTATTCCAATTCCCGAATTCGACGAAATGGGTGGGGAGTCTGCTGCTGCCAGAGCGGCCAGCTGCTGCAGTTGCTCCAGCTGCTCCAGCAACACCAACTGCTGGGCACCGCCCACCGGCAGATAGTCGCAGTCATCCACTTCGATGGTGTTGGCCCTTCCGGGCTCCGAGTGGTGCAGCCGCAGTCCGGTGATGGGTTCGCCTCCTGCGCCCCCGAGGAAACTGTTGCGGACGCCGAAGAGATTGCGCCAGTTGCGGGGGAAGCTAACGGTTATTGCGGACAACGGTAACGGGTGGTATCGGTTGGCAGCGGTGGTAAGTGGTTTGTGGTGAAAACATTTTAGATTCGAGGCATGCAAAAGTGTAGGAAAGGGTTCGGATATGTTGGAACGTAATGGAACATATCATTGCCAAATGAGCGTGATTTTTCAAAAGACAGCGCCCGTCATGTGGTGAGTTTTGAAAGTGTGGTGGGTGGGTGGTTGTTGTTGAACAATTAACAAGGCACATTCGTAGGGAAAAATAGAACGATTAACGTCCGAGGTCAGCGTTTGGTTCGAGGTGAGTGTGTGGATATTTCGATTGTTGTTGTTGTGAGTTGTGGTTGAGTGTTGTTGAGTTCGGTGGTGAGTAGTTGCCGTGTAAGCGTGTGGTGAGCACAGCACGCGAGAAGCATTTAACACAAACCGATAGCGGCGTTGTTGATTGTTGTTGAGATTTTCATAGAGATTTGATTGTTATATTGAGCGGTTTGGTTTTGTCGGTTGGATTGGATTGGCAAACGCAAAAAGTAAATGCAGAAAAGAAACTTTATGTTTTCGCTATCGTTTCTCGTTGGTTTCAGTGTGCCCTTCAAGGTGTTGGTGTATCTGTGTTAGCGAGATACTGGTGCGTGTATGTGTGTTTAAGTCAAAGAGAGAGAGTTGGGCGTTAAGCGCTCCGATTCTAATTCTGATCGTGATCCAATACCAATGCTAATTTAGAGCCTAATTCAGGGAAATTTGGGATTTTGCTCGCAGCTACCACGCAGAACGTAAAAGTGGGGGAAGACCAATTGGCCAGAGCGGAATTTCAGCATAATTTTGGCAGCGTAGCTTGGCATAGATAGCTTACTTCACTAATAGCTAATGACTTGGGCTCGACTGGCACTCGTCTGGCACATTCACCTCCTCCTCTCCTCAGTCTGCCGCCCACTTACCTGAGTCCGCGCGACGTGCGCGGCCGCTCCGACTGCGTGGAGAAGGCGCTGGAGGTCACGCTGACCACCGACTCCATGTCCGAGTCGCCGAACTCGCCCATGAAGTCCTTGTCCGGCGACAGCGAGTGCCTCGGCCGCATCCGCGCGTCCATCGAGTGCAGGTCGCTGTCCGACAGTCCCGTGTAGTGGCGCTCCCATCCGCCCATTCCGGTGCTGCGGTAGGTGGCCTGGTGGTGCGGCTGCCGTGTGCGGTGCCTTCCGAAGCGACCGCCCGAGGCCAACCGCTCGTCGAAGTCCTGACCCAGTCGATCTCGCAGCATCGCACTGCGGGAGGTCTGCGGCACCTGCAGTGGAAAAAATGGGGATGTTGAGTAGTCTGCAGATTTTTATACAAGTTATGATCCTAGTCGGGTGATTGTATTGTGTTGCATGAGAATATTTATGACTAGCAAAGTGTTCCTGCAACTTGTGACAGCACATTCCGCATTGTTGGTTACCTGTGGTAGCTGCCTCTTCTTCGGGGACCCTGTGGGCGTGGCTGTGGCCGATCGCGACTGGAATCGCTGCTGCTGCGAGGCAGTTGCCGCCGCCGAGGACGCACCACCCGGTCCCTGGTAGACCGATGGGGCGTTGGGCGAGGAGCCGTGTACTGGAAGCACTGGATAGTCTATGTAGCGGTCGTCGGGTGGCGACAAGGAGCCCCGTCGGGGACTGGTGCTCCGATAGCCGTAGGAGGGCACTCCTCCCACTCCGCCGCCGCTGCTGCTGTGGTAACCGTCGCTGGGTGCCGCCGAGTGACTCCGCTGGCTGAGGCTCATGCCACCCGGACCGATGGCGGAGCCGACACCATTACCACCTCCGCGACGATAGTAGCCGGTGGCAGAGGCCTGCTCGTGGTGCATCAGGTGGTGGCATGGAAAGTAGAGTGTGGTTTAGTGGTGCACCCTTGGACCGAAGCTCAGTGATCCCCGCACGGGGGTTCCCGGTGGGATTCTGACAAACATTCGGATTAGAGCTTACTAACTAGGTCTGAGTGAGTGGTATCTGGGTGGTTCAATTGGTTTTGAGGCAGGCATTAAACGTGTGTTTCGTCTTTTGTGTGTGAGTGTTTAGTGTGTTTAACTTTGATTAACTGTTACTGCAACTTCTACTGGAACAAAAACACAGGGCAGTTCATATAGACATATGCATATGATTATACGTAGGAGCTTAGTTAAGAGAGCAAGAGATAGAGAGCCATACAAATTGGTTAAAATACACTTTCGAAACGAAATCAATCAAGATACATTTAGAGCCGCACGCGACTTGTTAGCTTATTGGTGGGTTATAATCGGTTAGTCTGGTTAAGTAAAAGATTAGCATAAACTCTGAATTGAAAGTGCAGTAAGTTGGCAGTGGTTTTGGTCTAACTAAGACACTAGCTAAACTTGTGGGAATGGCCAAGATATGTTAGGACTGATTTATGTGAGTCAATAATGCGGCTTTTGAATATAGGTTTGTTTGGGGTCTTGCTATGCGTTTCTAGGCCCAACAGGGCAAAAGTTATGATAAAATATTTATTATCAATAGGCAGATTTATAATTCTCTTGAAAATGAAGAAAATCATGTCAATTGAATGAGACTGAATTGATTTATTGATTAAGCCCTCAGAACTCTGGTCCTAGTTCCCCACTTGAAGTGTTTTCCTTGTCTGTACTGTTCTGTTTCTTGTTTGGCCTGTTGGCCTTTTATTGGGTGGTTCGTTAATTTAGCTGGGTGCAAACCTGATTGTGGTAACTTTGTCCAATGCCAGATACAGTGCGGTAGTCCCGGGCCACCATCCCGGCCACCCGTTTGCGGCCCTGGGGCGACATGTCACGTCGGGACCGACGCTCGTTTAGATCGAGCTGGATCGTCGTGTTTGGATCGTTTGGGGTTTGGGTTGGAGGTCGGAACGAAGGGGATGTTGGATTTCGGGGTTCAGTTGAGTGACGGGGTGGGAATCAAGAGAAAAAGAAGGAGCAGACAATAGAGAAATTTACATATGATCAAAATGAATGGAGAGCTTGGAGCACAGTGTGATGCTGTTTTCAATGTGTGGGATGGATCTCAGATATTGCGTTGGAAATATTGGCCTCTTACATTGTGTTTGTGTGGGAGTGTCTCTGGGCTTTCAGTGGTTTATCGGGGTCTGTGTTCGATTGGTAAATCAACTCACATCAAGTATACGCAATGCTACACACCTAAAGCTACGAGGTGAAGAAGCCACAGGGAAAGCGGTGGGAAGGGCGTTTTGCAGGTGCTAAGTGATGGATAGATGGACAAAAGCGGTTCTCTACAAGGGCATGCAAAGCGGTTTCAAGTTTTCAGGTGCCTTGAATTGTTCTTAGTTTGATGCTGGAGCTTATGACAGAGAGATAGTTTTAGAGTTTAGAGTTTAGGGTTCAGAGATAGCCTTGGCCAGTATGTGTTCTCAAGTTTACACGGTTTACACGGATTCTTAACTTAAAACATTTGGCTTATATGACTTAGACTATGTTAACTTTCATCTTAAATGCAATAGTTATCGGTATCGTTATCGTTATTGTTAGCTGAAAAGACGCGACCAAGTCGGGCTCAGATTCGAGTTTGGCTCTTAGTAGAGAGAGTTAGTAGAACGACAGATTAGACTTCGAAGAGAGAGAGGCAGTAGGTCGAGAGAAAGAGAGAGAAAAATTTAACACACGCACAACGAAACAACGACACCAATTAGTTGAATAAAGTTTCAAACGAACTAAAAATACACCATGATAACGAAAATACTTTGTACAATTGCTGGGGGTGTCGTGTCTTGTTTTGGCCAAAAACATGAACAGTCGGCATCAGTCCGATTCTGTCCCTGACCATGAACCAGTTAAAATGTGTGTAGGCTGGTATCTGTGTCTGTGCTGGTATTTCCATTTGTATTTGTATTTGTATTTGTGTTCGTATTTGTATTTGTATCCGTGGCATGCGAACTGAGAAATGATAACTGACAGGAACAGGAACTGGAACCGCAAAATGGAGTCCTCTGATGGAGCACACAGGATGGTCATGTACGTATGGGTTGTTCTTTTCTTTTTGTTGGCGATTGCTGTGCTGGCGATGGTGATGCTTATGCTGCTCATGGCATGTGATTTGTGAGTTACAGTTAGAAAAAGCACACACACAAAGAGGGAAGACAGATAACAAACTATGGGAACCCAAATAAGCACACTAAGCACCAAAGTATTTTTGATTCACCGAAGACTGTACTCTCTTACTTTTATGTGCAATGACTGGGTAAATTTTGAATTTAAAATTTGAGAATAGGTTGAATTTTCTTCAAATATAAGGTGTTCCGCAGATATATTTTCAATCAACGCAAAAGAATTGCTTAGGTAATTAGGATCCATCTCTTTCACGATTAAGTCTGTCTAACTTTCATCTCGAAATTTTATGAATATTTCCCAAGGAAGAGTATACAGTCGGTGGTGCTCAAATGCTTTGTGGGCATATGCGTGTGTGTGGGTGGCTGGGGCGGAAATGTTCGCTTGTTTTCATTTGTATCTGTGTGTGTGGGGCTGAGTGCCACTGGAAGTGGGCAAGCTGCGATTGAAGTCTAATGTATGCACGTGTCGGTGTTGTTGGTCTCCTCGCTCTTGTTGTTGCTGTCAGTTGTTTTGGCTTGGATGAGACCTCCCCGTTTCTCGATGTGTAATATATACATATGAAATAATACGTTTGATTCAGTATCTGTGACTCCTCAGGCTTGTTTCTTGTGTGTGTCCTATGTGACGCTTTCGCTCAGTGTAGTGTTGCTCTGATGTTTTTTGTTCAGGCTGTTGTTGTTGTTGTTATTGTTGTTGTTGTTGAAGTTGTTTTCAAGTTGTTGTGGTGGCTGTTACCTCTAGCAGGGGCGGCGGACTCGCTGAGCTGCCCATGGACGAGATGCTGGCCCCCGGAGTCATTCCATCGAAGTCGCAGTCGGACGTGGTGTCCGAATCACTAAGGCGCGACACGGTGCTCGGCGGTGATAAATGATCTGTCGGTGTCAGTATCAGGCCGTCCACATCGCTGCCTTCGTCACGTAACTGTTTTCGTTGTTGGTTGTTTAGTTGGTTGGTTGGTTGGTTGGTTGGTTGGTTGGTTGTCATAAATTTTGCGTCGCAATGTTGTATGGATATCGCAGGTGTTGTTGTATTTGATGATGTTATTGTTGTTGTAGTTGGCAATGGTGGGTGGTGTTTTTGGGTGGTGATGTATTGGCGGGTGCACGACAAAAAACCAACGAAAAAATAAACAGATTATGACAATGCGGAGTTAATAATTTTGTTCAAACCGGGCAGCTGCTGCGGGGGGCGGAGCAGGGTGGGTAAAGGACATTACCAGGTCGGTTCTGGCCTTCACTTTCATCAATTCAGCTTAAATCGTACGATAGCTACAAAGCTATTCGGATACTTCAGATTGAGACCTGAGAAAGTGAAGACTAGAGCCGCCTAAACATCGAGCTTTACAAACCAATAAACAAAAACAAATACATAATTATAATCAAACGATAACATTTTCCATTTGACTTTTAGCCAGATTTGTGTTAAGTTTTTCACTCGCCGAAACTTCGTTCGTGGAACTGAACCTGAACTCTGTGTGTTTCCATCGTTTTCATATCTTTGCTTTTCAAGTGTTTACCAACACCTCCATAACAACCAGGAAACGGAAACGAACGAACGCAAAATGGAAACCAAATGAACGAACTTAAAGAGCCGCGGCCCACACATACGAGATAGGAGGTGTCCTGGTGGGGCTGCAGCTGATACCACTCGGCCTCGTCGTCCAGGATGTGGTGCGCCAGATCGATGACCACCTCGCCGATGAAGTCGTTGGCCCCGTACCGCACATAGTCCCACAGCGTTACCTATCGGGCGGATTCATTTCGGTGGATTAACCATATAGGAGTGCTCCGATGTGGGACGTGGGACACTCACCTCGAGCAGTCGGCCGTTGAGGTCGCAGCGCCGCAGACCCGAGTAGACAAAGGTCTGGCCCCATCGGGGCTCGCATGTGGTGCCCACCGTCTTCGTTCGCCGCTTGGACTTGTGGCTTCGATCGGGCAGAAGGAACACCTGGTAGTATTTTAAGGGATTGTGCAGACTTTAATAGAACGAATCTGGCTGGCTTCACTCACTTTTGCATATGGATTGCGGCCCGCTCCGCTCTGGCGCAGGGAGAGACCGGTGGCGCAGACCAGGGTCACGATCAGCTGCAGGGTGTTCTGGTCGTAGCCGAGCTTCAGCTGCAGCCGCCCCTCGATGGGGATGGGCTGTGTGGTGGTGCCGGAGCCGCTGCCCATGCCGATGCCGATGGGGGTGCCCGTGCCACCGCCCACCCCGTGGCCTTGCAGGTGGGCGGCGGGCGGAGCCTGGTGCTGGTGCGGATGCGGAAGCGGATGCTGGTGCGGGTGGTAGTGGTGCGGGTGCGGGTGGTGATGGTGGCCCGCCGTCGTTGTGCCGTGCAGGCCGCCAGGGGCGGAACCGGAAGCGGACGACAACGCGTGGGCGGGGCCGTGGGCGGAGGCGGGGGCGTGGACGCTGCTGGTGCTGCTGCCGCTGCCGCTGCCACTCCCGCTGCTGCTGTGGCTGTGGGTGCTGTGGCTTGGTCCCAGGCGCTGCGTCTGCCCGACGCCGCCACGTTGCCGGAGTCCTGATCCTGATACCGATCCCGGTCCGGAAACACTGGTGTGGATGTCCGGCGAGCCGGGCGAGGTGATTAGCACGCTCGGCTTGTCCCGATGGATTTCAATGGCCTCGACCGCGGGAGCTGCAAGTGGGTGGAGCCAAGGTTATGGTTGGGAATATGCTTGGAACTTATATCAATTTGAGTTGCGGTTAGTCGAGTTATCATGTACTGTGTGGTATCGTTGGGTGATTTGTCCTAACCTTGTAGTTACAATAATGGATGTGATGTTTGCACCACAATGCCCACTTGACACGAGTTCATTCAGGAATTGGAGTTATGCCAACAATTGGATGTTTAATTGGCTTACATATTTGAATGTATTTTTACGGATTTTATGCTTTTTTTCAAAAATGTGGTTACTGTATAGCGCTTTGCATAGCGAGTGAAAGTTGCCTGTATCTTTTATCGTAATTGTGGGTAGCAATAAGAATTATAGGTACAGACTGCACAAAACTAGAACTGAATTGATGGTGTAACTATTGCATTAATTCCGTAATAAATGAAAATATGAGCACCTCACATAAATTTAGTGTTGGTGTGAGAATTTGTGGCGCTATTTGCAAGTTAAGGCGAAACACCCACTTCAATCACACTTCGTCACGCTCTTCCACAGACACACAAGCCCTAAAGAAGCAAGAACCAATCCCCAGGAACCATGCTAATTATGTGGATACGGTATAGTACCTTTGCGCTGCAGATATCTTCCACCGCTGCTGACCACCGCACTGCCGGCCATGCTGCTGGCCAACCCGCTGTGCGGGAAGTTGGCCGAGGAGCGGCGAGCGGACACACTGTTGGCGGATCCGCCAGAGGCTCCGCTGATGGGACTGACGTTGCTGCTGCTGCCGCCACTGCCGCCGCCGCTGCCGATCGGCCGGCTGACGATCAGTTCCACCTGGGCGTCCAGGCGACTCTCGTCGATGATGTCGTAGACCTCGTCGGCACTCTTGTTGTGCAGCCCGCGGCCATTCCACTCGAGGATCTCGTCGCCTGCTCCGTGGATCGATGGATGAGCGTTGGATGAATGGCATGGAGATGTTTGACCACAGACAGAATAGACAGAAATAGAGAGAAAAGTCAGAGTGAGATGCGATGGCTGAATGAAGTGGGATGCATATTACCTGGTCGAATCCTGCCCTCGAGATCGGCCACCGATCCGCGCTTCACCTTCTCCACAATGGCCCCGCATGGACCTCCTGCTCCTGTTCCCGCTCCCGTTACCGTTACCGTTCCCGCTCCCGTTCCCGCTCCCGATCCTCCCGTTGCGAGGGGCTGACCGCCGTTGACCTTTAAGCCTAATATATCCTCCCCATCATAGTATTTACGCAATATCATGTGCCCGATCAGGCGAGTATTGTCCGCGGATGTTTGCCAATTCACCGGATTCTATATGCGCAGCGATCGGTTTACGATTTACGTGGGTGTGGTGGTTGGGATGGTAATTGGTTTGATTTGGTTTGGTGATTGGTATTATTATTTTGGTGGGATTGGTGGTTTACAGTTTACAGTTCGGATTGCGGATGATCGTGCATAGATTTGGTTGTAAGTAGTTGGATGTGGTGTCGGTGGGGAGCCATCGTATGCGGGAAGTAGAATTGTTTTTAGTTAGCTTTTTGCACTGCTTAAGACGCCTTAGACATACAGCTTATACCCTAAACGTAACTTACAATTAGAGTTGGTCAACGAAAACATATGTATAACAGTAGAAAGTAACAGTTTGTACAGTTTTCACATTCAAGTTTTGGTTTTCTTTTCCTTACAGTCTAGAAACATGTTCTACGCAATCACAGATAGTTGGCATGGCGCATAGATATAGATACATAGTAGTTGTATTGGTATTCCTACTTGTTTTGAGAACACACACGATTCAAGAGTTCCCTCAACCTGAGGTACGGATCATATGCATTTCGAATGCTAAAAACAGTGTGGGATAACGACATTTAGCAAACATGCAGGGCGTGCTAAGGGTTTTTCGGTTTTTTAGGTGGAGATTCATGCAAGCACAACACTTAGAGGTTTGGAAAAGTCTGATTATTTTGGGGCATGCAAGATTGGTTCTTTGTGGTTTCGCATATCGCTGGGTTCTAGGTTTTGAAGTGAGGTTGTATGCTGAAATTGTCAAGATGTTTGTCACAATAGCTGGAAGTTAGTTGCGAGCTGGGAGTGATAACCAAAAACGATATCATTGCTTGATTATGGTCTGGGGCTTATGGTTGCTTTCTGGACATGACAAGAACAACAAACAGAGAAAGTTGGTTGGATTATCTTTCCTTTTTTTTTTTGGAGTTCATGGGGTTATTCCCCACACAGACAAACGGATTGTGGGGTCAAAAGGAGGAGAAAGAGACAAAGAGAGAGAGAGAGAGAGAGAGGGGGAGAGAGAGGACTCTACACAGACACAATGCATTCTTGCCCATCTTGGTTATATTTTCAGCATTTTTCTCCCGCTGCGATCTGTGTGTACCTTGGGCCCATCTCCTCGATTGGAGTCCTCGCTGCTGGTGAACGTGCTGCTGGTATCGATGCCCGAGTCCTTGGTGGCCGAGTCCTGGCTACCCTGTCGCTCGGCCTCCCACCGTGCCCAGTCAGCCCCACCAATTCCGCCAACTCCGCCGGCGTCTAGGCTCTTTCCACTGCTCAGAATGGTGGCCGCTCCCACATCCACAGCCGTGGAGGGCAGGATTGCCGTGACCGGCGGCAGCGAACTGCTGGCCAGTATGGAGGCCTCTTCGTCGTGGGCATCGAAACGCACCGTCTTCTTTATTCTACGCTCGGTGAAACGCCGCGAGTCCTGGGCCGCCGATGAGGAGGAACTGGTGGCCGGTTCGTCCCAGTAGGCAGCCTCCGTGGAACTGACGGAACTGCTGCCACCGCCGCCTCTCGTGGCGCCCAGCAGACCACCACGCTGGCTGCCCCGCGCCGCCTGACCTTGGGCGTCCGCCGATGTCGCCGCCGCTGCCGCTGCCGATGCCATGGAAGCCATGGAACCCGATCCTCGATCGTAGCCCGATCCCGGACCAATCACAATCTGCGGCTTCGACTGGGGGTAGTAGCTGCTGCTAGTGGTGCTGCTGCTGCTGCTGCCACCGCCGCCGGCGGCTGCCAAGGGCGGGGCACGTCGGTAGACGCCAGCAGCACCACCACCACCCGCTCCTCCTGGCCCTCCGCCTGCTGCGCCGCCAGAAAACTGCCGCTCGTGGTTGCTGCGGTTCAGCGAGTTGCGCTGCTGGACGTCCAGGCGAGCGGTGCGCGTAAGAGGATACTGCTCCAGGCGCTCGCGGTGCTGCAGCTGCAGCTCGTAGCGATCCCGCTGATCCGCGGAGGCGTACAGCCGCTGGGTGGCGTGCGACAGGTGGCGGAAGTCAGCACCACCGACGCCACCACCACCACCGCCGCCGCTGCTGAGCAGATCCCGTTCGTTGAGGCTGCGCTGCTGGCGCCACGGATCCAATGAGGTGCGCACCTGGAGGCGCCCGCCTGTAGGGGTGGTAGATGTTGATTGGGTGTGGCTATAAACGCTACTAGGGGGTTGCTCTGCGGGATTTTTGGGTGATTCAGGGGGCTCTGGGATGTCTTGGGGGTTTCTGGGGGTCTCAGGGGTTCTGTTTGGATTGGTTGCTCCTGGAAGGGACTGCGCCGCTTGCCTGCCATAGTTTGTTGTCCTTTTCAGATGTTTCAACAAATGCACACAATCATAATGGTAATCGATCGGTTGAGAAAGCAAAAGTTCAAAGCAAATAAATACGTATGATAGACTTAGTTTCGGGTATCAGCTTGGATCCAGCCTTGTGAGTTCGAGATAATGGGGAATGGAGTAAAGTCCTGATTTTTCGAAAACTTCATCAAATTAACACATGTAATGCTGAATTGTTAAACTGCTTTTTAACTAGAATTTTATAGGTTTTTGTAATGAGTGTATGCACTAGCTTTCACTACTTTGTTGGTGACTTCTATTGAGTAAAAAACCTGTGGTAGAAAGAAAATGGATCATATATTTATGATGCTTTAGAGCGCTAAAATGCATTATTTATTAATTGATTCACGAATGTGTGTTACCCTGTGTTACTAATAAATGCATATCGTATCTTTACAGGGCAGAACAATTTAGATTTGAATCAAAACTATAGATATTACAGAACATTTTCGAAAAATCCGCGACATTACCGTACAATTTCGACAAGAGCTGCATGAGTAAGCTAAGATTGGGTAGTACGAGTATCATAATAGACCTACGACTAGAACTACGAGTGCCCGCGACTGCTGGGTCTAAAAGTGCCAGGGGCCGGGAGAAGATGAATCAGGGGTAAGTGGCCGGTTTTTAAAGGTTTCCGGAGAAGTACAAGGCATAGAAATACTTATCTGTTGTGGCTAAAAGTCGCAAGAGCATTAAGTTACAAGCTAAGTCTTCGGGAAATCGGAAACTCGGGGAATTGTTGGCCCATGGGGACAGTGTAGACTGTTCTGAATGTTGGGGTGTGTGTTCGAGGTAGTGTGAATTCTGGTTGAAGTAGGGAGGAAACGGGAAACAGCGTTACGATATCCATGCAAATTATTCACCAAGATTTCTTGTGTTGTCAAAACTCTTTTTGTTTTCGTATCAGTTCACATTTACAGGTAGGGTTAAAAACGTAGAAGATACATAAAAAAGCAGAAAGTAACAAATATATAGGGATCTCAAAAGTGTTTTTAAAAAATGTTGTCCAGCAACGATAACGTGTGTTCACAGCCAGAAAAAAAGAGAGATAGTTTTGTGTGAAGTGGTTGAGGAAATCAAGTGACGATCGAGAGATCAGAATCGGTAGCGAAAAACGAACGCTTAACGCATCACCAGCTTATTGGCTATTATAGACAATTCTAGGTCTAGGTAAGAGAAAGTTGTGGAGAGTGTGTGGGAGAAAGTGTGAGTGAGGGAGATAGTGCTCGAACAAAGGAAACAAAGTTAACAACTAAGAAAATCGCACATTCCTTGCTTTCGCTTGTGACGTGTTCGGGAAACTCAAAAGAAACAATAACATCGAAGAGACACACACATTCAAATTCAAATTCGCATTAAATGCCTTTGGGCCTGGTTTTAAACACATTTTTTTTCGCTTACATTTGCATGAATCTGTAGATCGCCGGGCGAGAGTACGGTTTGGACACCTTGAACGCCGCCAAAATTACCTGCTATTCGATGTTTATTTTGGGTTTTATTGATATTATTCATAGGGCATATTTGGGTATTTTTCGGTTTATTTTGGTTTTGTGGCGGGCAAGTTGGTTGGAGTTTCATTTTCAGGGTAGACCAGAGAGAGAGAAAGAGTGGAGAAAAATATATGAAAACAATATTTCAAAGGTGAGTTCGAGTGGTAACTGTGAGTTAGACTAACTAGCTTACTCGTTACTAGCTTACTCTATTAGGCATATAAGTCTGAGGGGGATTTCAATTAAACATAATTAATGTTATACTTAAATAGCTATAACTACGGTGCTAGGCCTAGTGTATATAACTTAGATCTGATGATTCCAGTGCTTATAAGCGGCTAAAAGCTTTCCAACTTACATTACTGCTGCATTTGTACTCAATAAAAAGAGCAGTTTTTCAGCCGCCCTTGAAAGTAGGCAATAAAAGTTGTTGCAAACGCATTTTCAACCATTTTCTTTAAAACAAATGCACACTTACACACACAGCATGCCAGCACTCACTCAGACAATCGCCTTGGGTGCGAAAAAGAACTAGTTTTCCGACACACACACACAGACATAGTCGTAGTCTCTCACCCATACAGCTATAGTTTTGTGGGCCATACCCCTGGCATACTTTCATTTGACTTTGGTCACGATACAAAACGTTTATTTTGCGCATAATGGGCAACAACAACGAAAACAGCAGCTGTAGCGACGGCAAACAAAACAAAAACAAGTGAAATAAAAATAAGAAAAATAAAAACGAGTGAAAAAATTACATAAAGGCAGCAAGACCCAACGATAACAATGTAAACAAAAGAAGGCACGAAAGTAAAACAAAGCCAAAGTAAAGTAAATTATTTGAGAAACCACACGCACAATCTGCTTCAAGGGGGCAGAGGGGGTGGTGCTGGGGGATGTGAAAGGCGCAAAAGACCAAGAAAAGAAAGCAAAAATCAATAAAGTACACAAAAACACGGTCATTTCTGTCCCTCGGCGACCTTTCTTATGGCTTTCTTATGGTTGTTGCTGCTGCGCGTGGTTGTATTTATTGTAGTTGTTGTGGAGAAAGGCTGCGCACAATCATCGCATTGTGCAACAAACAAAGAAAACGAAAAATCAAACAAATTTCACATTAGTGTGTGCGTGTGTGTGCGCCTGTGTGTGTGCTTCCTGTTTTATATTTTTGGCCATAAATTTAAGCCAGTTTGGCTGACAGTGATCGAGGGGGGTGCGGGCCGAGTAGGTGTAACGGTCGTTGGGCTGGCAAAAGGACACTAAAATCATCATCATCATCATAGGCGGCAGAGCGGGAGAAATGGGAGAAAGCAGCCGTAGCTTGTGCTATTTTTAAACCAACGCTCCGAAACATACTCTCACACACACAGACACACGCAGGCGCATAAATAGCGCACAAATGGACGCAAACGGGCGCTCACAAACACACTCACGCACACAAGCATACAACCACAAACACCAGCACAAACAAACAAACGCACACACACGCACGCACTTTACGCGTGGGCCAGCCTCAATGTTCGCATTAATGTCACTCATACGCACAGTTGCACATGCAAACAAACAACAGCCAGGACGAACAACAACAACAACAGCAACAGCAATAGCAACAATAACAAGAACAACAAACGGGCCACACCAACGTCAACTGGTGTTGGTCAACGATTTAATTAAATTCAGACCCGTTCCCCAAAGATCCTCGGCTGGTAGCATTTTAAAATAGCCAAACAAACACGCGTTTCATATGTCCTGTGACACACACACACACACACACACACACACACATACGGCACACACACACCAGCTCACCCACGCAGGAGTGCGGTCTATATTTACTTATTCACAGCCTGGTCGCCCATATGCGACACATTTCGCGTTGATGTTGCGGTTGCCATTTTAGTTTTGACCCCTCCCCTTTGACTGCCCATCGGGGAGCTATTGATTTTGTGTGCTTAATCGAAAACGTAATTCATTTCACAAATTTGTTGCATAGTTTTGGGTGGCATTTCTGGCGGGGGGTGGTGTTGAAGTTTTGGGGGCGACAATGCACACACATTCACATTTTGCGGCTAACACGAAAGCTGTAACATGTAACTAACACACCGAGAGCTCTCTATAAAGCGCACTTAAGTTTGGCTAAGTGAAATGGATTCAGAATGAAAGTGGTTGATGACTCCACCTGCCTAGTTTAATTGAATATATACTGGCAAAGGTGGTAAGACTACCGAACAAGAGTTTTCTTCGAACGTCTTCATCTAATTTCCATGTTTTCTCTGGTCTATAACAAAAAGTTATCATTAGTTTTCTTGTGAAAAACCATTAGAAACAAGAAGGAGCGCTATATCATGTGCAAACCAACGATTATATACCCTTGCAGTAATTATATATTTATAGCCTTTAGACTGAGAGACTAGTTTGCGTAGCAGCGAACGGACAAACAAGGTGACTTGATCAGTTGATACTGATCAAGAATATATAAATACATACTCTACATGGGTGCAAATGTATTCTTTACTGCCTTAAAAACTTACTAAATAAAACTGAAATCTAAGTAAAGACAAAGCATTTAATAACAGAGCTCTATCTTTTCTATTATAATAAAGCCTTCCAAAATAAAGTATTTTAACTGGGTTTATTTGATTGAGTCTAAGGTCGAGTCTTGACCAGAACTTTAATAAAACAGCTTGCCTTGTACTTCAATTAAAATTTCAAGCCCTATTTGGATTCGAACCTAACCAAGGAAAACTTAATAATTGGCAGCTACCCAAAAGTGGCTATTTGGCATTCTTTGTCGACAAATTCCAGTTGCTTTTGTTACTGATTGTTTTTTCTTCTATAAGCATTTCTGTATGCTCGGTGCTAATCTATTTGCATTTTGCATTTAAATATTCAACTTTTTGGCTGTCTAAGCATTTTCTTTGTGGCTTGAATGTGGTTCGTTGATGTGAGTGTGTGTGGCAGTTGTTGTTTGGTTTTCTTGTGGTTGTTGTAGCTGTTGTGGGTGCACTTCAGAGAAGCTTGACTAACTGCAACTGACACTCACCTCAAAAGTCAGCTTTGCTCTATTGAGTTTCTAGTATTTATATTATTTTATTTCAGTTTTTGGGCTACTCGTTTTGAAGTTATGTTTCCATATGCCAGTATTTGCGTAGGGTTTCTTTTCCTTTTTCTTTGTTTTCGGTTTTGATTTGCTTATTTACAGAATTACTGCTACTGAAATTTTGTTTGTTTCGGCCGTTGCCTAATTTGTGGTACAAATTGCTGGGCATGTAAGCCAACCACCCCACTCACAAGCACACATGCGGTAGGGCTCAGGTGGCGCCAGTGAGCACCACCCAACCACCCAACCACCCAAAGCCACCCACACCACACACACAGATTGCGTGGCAGTACAGTAAACAAATCGAGCGTTTTTCTTCTACCTGCTAACCAACACAAAAATGGCAAATAAAAAACAAAAAATAAAACAATAATATTAAGTTGCTGCTGCCTCCGCTTTTTCTCTTGCGCGTGTGTTGGTGGATGGGTGGGTGGTGGCAGGGTGGGGTTTTAGGCCCTCCAAGCGAGTGCCTTGGGTTCGGGGTCGTAGGTGGATGGGTGGATGGGTGGGTGGAAGGGTGGTTTAGTGGTTCACTGAGTGGCTCGTGGCTCGGGTGGCTGGCCAAATGCAAAAGCGTCAGTTGGGCGCCTCAATTTGCGCAGTGTATTGTTAGTCGATTGACTGATTCGAGAGCAAATTTGTTTGCCTTGTTTCGCCTTGGTTGTTGGGTACGCTTTCGCTCAATTAGGCAGATTTAAAGAGACTTCAAGGTCGTGGTTACCTTTTTGCTTTTTAACACTTTCACTTTGCTTGCAATTTATTTGAACATCATTTACATTTTTCACACATTGGCGTAGTTATTGGTTTTTTGCAGCTTCGGGAGCTGACCAATTAGCCTTGGCTGCTGCTCAATGCCAGGCTCTCAATTATTTATGCTTCAGGGCCAATTAAGTGCACTTTATGTTGTTTAACTGGCACCGCTCTCTCCTCGCACTCTCCGCTTTCTTCGCCCGACAGCCACATGTCAGGCTTTTCCTCGGGCCTATTTTTCCTCCTTTTGGCTTGTACAATTTCCCACCAAGGTTATTTTTAACTCGACATTCACATTTCACAGAGTTTGGCTTTCGTTTTCCGCCCGCTTCGCTTTCGATTTCACTTACTCGTGGGCTTTTTGCGCTTTTCACTCGTATTTCGTTAGCAGGGCTTTTCCGATTCCGATTTTCCAGCAAACGTAATTTTGCCTCTATTATGGGTAGTAGGATATTTTTCTATTTTTTTTCCTTTGCGACACACGTGCGAATTTTGCGAGCGGGACCGCTGCGGCTGTTTACTCGCCTTTAAAGTTCATCGAAAACTAATTTCGTTTCGATTTCATAAAAAATCTCAATGGAATTTTCGCTTTACGCTGCCGTTCGCTTTCCCTTGCGCCTACTCTCTTTCTCTCTCGGCTGCCATCGTTGTTGTTTCTGTGGGAGCCTACAACACATTTCCAATAACAATGTTACACGGCGGCCAGTCGTGGCTGTTGTTGTTGCTGCCGACTTTCCCATGGCGCTTCCAGTGCCAAACTAAAAATAAAGTTAAGCGCGTGGCCAACACCGCTGCCGCTGCCTCAGTTGCTGCCTCAGCCGACGCAGCAGCCAGCAGCGATAACATTGACAGCTGCTGCTGCCACCCACCGCCCACTTTCCACCTACCACCTATCCACCACCCACCGCCCACCGCCCACCTTAGGGTCAGCGCGTTTTCCTGTGTGTGTGCGTGTGTGTTGCTGTTTGTGTTTGCCACCTTCAAGGCGAATCTCTGTGGCAAAGTCAACGTGTTTGTCTTTGCCTTCCAGCAAAGCGGGCGCTCCGCGGTGGGCGGTGGGTGGGTCAGTGGGCGGTGCTGCGCGTGCTGGATGCGGAAAAGCTGCTAACTGAAGCGACGGATGGCTGACACTGCTGCTGCAAGTGGCAGTGCACTCGTTGTTGTTGCTGGCTGTAGTAAGCACCATGACGCTGCACGAAAATCGGCGAAACCAAAAGAGGCACTGAATGAAATGACGTCGCTGGCAGGGAAAACTCGAACTGGGAGGAGGACTCCGTTCGGACAACAACAGGACGACAGCGACAGGAGGGCAAAAGCCAAAAGTGGCTAATGTGACGCAGATCGATGTTGTTGCAAACTCTTTGAAGGAGAGTTTTGGTCTGTGTGCTTTCCCAAAATTTAAATATTCTACACATTATTTTTTACTGGGTTTCCTGGATAACTACAGGAATAACACTTTCAGGCTGTCTAAAACTAGGCAACATAATATTTTTGGCCAGTTCAATTTGTTTTTAACCCCTGAATATTCTATAAATTGACATCTGAAATCTGGCAAAAGAATCTATTTTATGTAGTCATAAAAATAGGGTATACACTATAGATTTTTAGATACTTGCAACCTAAAGCTTTAAATAGACAAGATTATACCAATACCACATCAATGACATTGGTAAAAGTTATATATAGTATTTTAATTCTGATCTGCTCGGTTTCCTCAATCACAGGTTTAGCACAACTTTTTGTGGGTTTACGCGCGCTTCAAGCCATCAGCTGCTCCTCTGCCTCGCCCACCCACCTGGCCGCCCACCACCCACTGCCCACCATCACCGCCCACCGCCCACCGCCATGGAAGTGGATGTAAAAACAACAAAGGGGTGCGAACAGGGGGGCCAAAGTTCAGCGCATGCGCTCCAATTCAACGCGATGGTGTGTGGGAATTTTCCAAGCGACTCTTTCGACGGGAAATTCCAACGCATGACGTCTGGTGGCATTCACTTCGACCATTGTGAACTAGCAGCCGAAATGGTGGGTTTTCCGTGCCACAACTGTGGTGGGAAACTGCAGTGCAACTGCACCCACAACAGGACCCACATGGCGTCCACCCAGTGCACCATTCACCCGCCCACTTTCTCCATTTCCCCAGAGACTTTCACTTGCCTCGGTCTCGGTTCCAGTTTCGATTTCTTTTATCACTCTGCTGCATTTCGGCATTTAATTCACGGGATGCAGGCATAAGTTTGGCCACCTGGTTATCGCCGTGGTTGCACGCCAGATCAGGTGGGTGGTGCAGCTGGTGGGTGGCCTGTCAGTGGGTGGGTGGGTTGGCGATGGAGTAACTTGGTGCGCCTAATTTCATGCCACACTCCGTGGACCACAAGCGCACTCGTGCTGGGAGTGGGCCTGGGGCCAAAGTTGAAATCAATAATTATTATATGCTAGTTTGGTGGAAAATTGAAAATGACAGAAGGAGTTGTGTGGGCGGTGGGCGGTGGGCGGTGTATGTGCAACATGCTTGCCAGAAACTTGCGCGCTAATGTGCAGCAATAAAAAATTTAAATCACCAAGCGCCGCATGTTGCACTGCCACCAAAAGACTACAAGCAAATAAACCAAGGAAATCTGGCTACACTTGAAGCAGCATTTTGGTACAACTTTACTGCTTTTACTACTAAGTTGTTAGTTAGGTGGCTAGAAAATCGCTATTTTACTGTAAGTATAATATTTTTGAACGCCTTTTATATTCTGCTTAAAAAAACTAGCCTCTTGAATTGAATTTGTTTGCTAAGCGCAGTAACCTCAACCTTGTATATCCCCGCGATGATTGATCAATCTGACATCTGTTTTTTTCGAGTGCATGGGGGGGCAGCACTGCAGCAAGTGCCAACAAGAAACTTTCTAATTAGGATAATAAATTTGCCAGCATCGCACTTGACAACGTCGCCGGCATCTTTCAAAACATGAAGAGCAGAAGGAAGCCGAGTGCCCCGCCCCCAAAGGAAATGCCGCCCCCTGAGTGGGCCAGAAGAACCCCCACCCCAACCATCTCGACATCATCAGGCGAGTGCAGCTGCTTGGCCAACTTCTTGATGTTTTGTGGTGGCTGCCAAAAAGGAAAGGCTGCTCACTCGGCCTTTTTCCGCATTTTCCCCAGTTCTGCCATTTTTCGCCAACTGCCTTGGTTTTCCTTCCCTGTTGGAAAATGTGTTTTCGGGTCAGCTGTGTGCAACCTTCCTGCCTGGCACTGGCATATAATTTATGCTGATTGCATTTAACGGCCAGTGAAAACCAAGTGAAAGTATGCGGCAGCGTCCAGGAGTGCGCACTTGTCTCGCTGGCGGTGGCTCTTTTGGCCTTTTCTCTCTGTAAACAATTTATTTTTACTTTCGCCGCTTCCGCGGCACCTTCTTGTGCACTCGACCACCACCCACCGACGGCGCTTTTCCGCCGCCTCTTTTCAGATTTTCCCTTCCATTCGCTGCCTGTTGTCGAGCGCCGAGTCAAGTGCCCCCGAGATAAGCGCAACGAAATGTTTCCGCAGCAAAACATTCCTCGCCATTCGCTCTTTTTCTTTGCCAGGCTTTTCCTCGGTTTTCCCCGCTTCCCCCGAAGCGGCAAGAGTGCTCCTGTATGTGTGTGGGCGTTGGGTGTTGGGTGTGTGTGTGCTCTCTATTTTTATAGCCCTCGGCATGCAAGTTGCGTTTCCCCGCTTGCGGGGAAAATGTTTGGCAGAACTTTTCCAGTTTAGCAGCTTAAACTTTCACTTTAGAGCAAAGAGTAAATTTGGGGCTTCCCTTATCCAGCTTAAATCGAACTTAAGGCCTTAAATTACGCTTAACGCTAACTTATAAGATTAGTTAGACATGGAAAAATTAAGTATGTACACCGATAAACGAAACACAGCAATGTGAGGCAAAACAGAAGTTAAAGAATTTTTAATTGGCTTGGAAAAAACATCGAATATTGGATCTCAAAAACGAGTCAAAGAAAAAGACAACGCACCAATGTGAGACAAGATAGTGCTACATTTTGGAAAGTTAGCTTTTAACGTTTTTTTTTTTGGGGTACATATTCAAATGGGATTTTTGTAGAGCGAGCGAGTCAAAGAGAGTTTTACATTGAGAGAAAGAGAGATAGTGAGCTATATAGGAAAATTGAACTGGGATTGGGATGTTGGGGCATTGCCTTGCGGGACATTCAGAGCGGAAAGTATGGAAGCGATAGATGTACAGATTTACAGACAGGGAGACGGGGATCGGGGGATAGAGACATTCAGAGATCTCAGAGGAAGATAGAGCAGAGATAGAGCAAGATAGAGAGGGGAGGAGCTGGATGCGAATTGGACAAAACGACCAACTCACCGTCATAGTCCGATCCCGCGGTGACCGTCACCGCGCCCTGGGCGGCCAGCAGGTGGTGCTGGAACTCCTCCTCGGAGCTGCTGAAGGACCTCTGCTGCTGCGAGGCGTACTGCGATCCTGCGAGCGCTCGTCGCTGCTGCTGCTGCTGCTGCTGGCTGTAGGCACTGGAGTCCATCGCGTGACCACCGCTGATGGTCAGGTTGCGGGTCAGCGGCGGCGGCTTCTGGTAGCCATGCTGCTGCTGCATCTGCTGATGTGGCTGCTGCTGCTGCTGCTGCGCGTGGGGATGCGGATGTTGCTGCGGCTGTTGGTGGATCTGCGCGTGGTACGATTGCTGCGCCTGCTGCTGATGCTGCTGTTGCTGCTGCTGCCTGGCTGCGAATTGCTGCGAGTGTTGCTGCTGCTGCTGCGGCGATGGGCGATGTTGCTGCGGCATTAGATGTTGCTGCTGGTGCTGCGACTGCTGCTGCTGCGAGTGCGACTGCGGCGGATGTTGCGGCTGCACCTGACTGGGATGCGCCAAGTGGGGATGCTGCCTCATCAGACCATCCAGTTCACCCTGCAATAAGACCATAGTGAAATTGCATTGCCAAAGGTTTCAGTTAAACGCTTTCCGCTGGAAAAGCCGTTTATTTTCGAAGCACTCACCTGATAGTATCTGGGATCATCATCGGGATAGGCGCCTCCGGCTCGCGGCTGCTGCTGCTGCTGCATGCCGTATCCCTGCTGCGCCTGCTGCGGATTCATCGGCTGCATTCGGGATCGCTGCTGCTGCTGATGGTGCTGCATCTGCTGGCCGGGGCTCATCACGGGCTCCATTCCGCTGTCGGAGGCCGAGAGGCGGCGGTTGGTGGGCTGCTCCTGCTGCGAGTACTGGCGCCTCAGCATGCTGCCCGCCCGCTGCATGGGTAGGTTCTCCTTCTCGGCGGCACTGCGCGTCCTCTCCAGCTTGGGCCGCTTGTCCGTGGTGTCGTGCGGATCCACGATGGGGTGCTGCGAGATGTCCTGTCGGATACAATAGACCTTGAACTGCTGACCCCGTCCAGGGCGGGCACATCTACTCACGCTGCTCCCATCCGGCTCGATGCGTCGGATGAAACCATCTTGTTGGGCCGCCGTCTTGTTGATCCATTGGCCAGTCTTGGAGAGCAGCTCCTGCTTCTTGCGGCACAGTATGCACACCCAAATGACCTGGAATGTGGCAAGGGAAATATAATTATATGAGGCATCGTGTCTTTGTATCACATTAAAAATGTAGGGATGGCAACCATCAATCTATTTCCTGACGCAGGGCATCCGAATCATATATTTCGCAGAATGCGAGCTCAGATGAAATGGAAACACTGAAACCTATAGGTGTTCCAGCGGCATAAACCCCACGATACCAGCTTTTCTGGTACATCGAAATGTTGAAACGAATCTAGCTTGCCCAGGTGCTTCAGTCATTTGAACACACACATAGCTCCGGCACTCTCCGGGGAATTTACACGTGCACTTGCAACGCTTTCAAATTTGCGACCAGGCTTTGCCATGGACGAGTTACGAAATCCGATTCTCAGCGGCATACAGCTTGAACTAGAGGAATCCGAGGAGGATGGGGACGAGGACATCGAGGACGCAGTGGAAGGCGAAGGAGCACTGCACGGGCCTGATGCCGGACTGCTGTACTTCTTCACCAGATTGTACAACGTTCTCAGTGGGTATATCTCCATGACCACCTACGTGGAGCGCCGGCGGAGGGTATACTTTGCGGGATTCAGCAATGTGCAACTGCTGACTCCGTTTCTGGGCGATCGACAGGGGAAGCGGTACCGCTGGATCCACCTGTCTGTCATCTTCCACGCCTTCAGATCCACGAGACGGTTCTGAGGCAGATACCCCACCGTGTCACAGCCAAATTGAAATTCCATTTGGCATTTGTTCGGAGTTGTTGGTCCATCTAGTTTCATTTTGCGCCCTGGCTTTCGCATCTGCAGCCCCAAAGTCCACATCTCTGCCCTTTTCGGATCCCCCGTGCCAGTGTGTGTGTGACATTTTGGCAGCAGTTCAACGGAAAAACGTTTGGCAGCACGGCCAGAAAATGATAAGCCTGGCCAGCGAGAAAAAAAGAGCGGGGGGAAACAACCGAGCAATCGGTTCACTGAGTAAAATAAAAATTGGAAAAAGTGTAATTGAAATGCAATGCACAAGAGGGGCGGAGAGATGCTGGGATGGATTTAAAGAAGGAATTCGGAAGAGACTTCTTCAATGCCACCGTGAGGTATCCTGCCATCAAGGCTACTGAGTAAGGTGCCACGAAAAAAGCTAAACCAACATTCTAATTGTTGCTTATAAAATTTGTTTTATATAGCTAAGAGTGTAATAAATGTAAATGAAATGCAACGTCTAGTCTCATTAAAGTATCAATTATGAAAAATATATAATATTTTAGATGGCATTGTTGTACCCGTTGCTCGTAGAGTAAAAGGGTATACTAGATTCGTTGAGAAGTATGTAGCAGGCAGAAGGAAGCGTTTCCGACCATATAAAGTATATATATTCCTGATAAGGATCAAGCCGAGTTGAACTGGCCATGTCCGTCTGTCCGTCCATCTGTCCGTATGAACGCGTCGATCTCAGGAACTTCCACTAGCTGGGTAACGGGTATCTGATAGTCGGGAACTGAACTATAGCATTCCGTCTTGTTTTTACTTCAAATTCTCTTAAAGACACTCTTCAATTTGAAGTACCCTTGACTAAATGCCCATTTACTGCGTGTGATTATATATAAGATAGATATTTCTGAGGCTAAGAAAGATATAATCTATTTCTAGCGTCCCAAGCGGTTCCGTCATCTCATATCCTTGACCAGAGGCGTCGTATGAAACTGGAAATGATGTGTAAATTATAAGTGTCGAATTGAGAGGCGCCGGGCTGGAGGGAAGGGAAGGGTCTGCCCTTCTGGCCCGGCTCCACACCACCGCCCACCCACTCGATGCCGCCCATCGCCAATTATCCAGCGGACTGCAAGGCGACAAGGGGCAGTTATTCATGCGCCCAACGCGTCACTGGGGACAGTTGGCAACAAGCGGCGGTGGCCTATGGCGCTGCCATTCAATCCCATTCAATGTCGATGTGGCAATGGGGCGTATGAGTGATGGCTGCTTAGCCAAGCGGCTGCCGGGTCGCCAGTATTATTGGCACCAGCGTTGTCCTATTTGTCAATGGGCGGAAAATAAGTCCGACACCCTTACACGACAAAAAAAACATTTATCCGCTGTCTCGCGCGTTTCAACGAGTGGGTAAACCCAATGGCAGAACCCTGAGTCAGTGAATCCAAAAGGAGCTGTCAGCCGCTTGGCATGGGATTGCGGACTCACCTTGTTGCTGCGGAGCGTCACCTTGCCGCCGCACCTGGCGCAACAGCGTATGTTGCAGTAGTGGCAGATGTGGCCCACTCCGTCGGCGAACTTGGTCTTAAGGCATATGTGACAGGTGGCATCTAGCTCGACGCCGGCCTTCTTCTGCTGCTCGGATCGCTGCCTGATTTGCATTTCCAGCGTCACCACCTCGTCCTGCTTGCGCCTGCAAGGATGAATTGGTATTAGAAAGATATTCAGGCGAGGGGAACTTATAGTTAATAGCTTGTAGCGCTTTAAACAAATTTAAAAAGTTACAGAACGCTTTAAAAGTACTAGTTCATCAACATTCGTTCGCAATGGGATATAGTAATACACATATCAACAAGATTGGGCGTTGCATGCTGTAATGAAACCCTTTACAAAATCTCCATTCATTCTAATACAGTCCTACGGTTATCATGATGATGCGAAGTGTAACATTTGTTAAACTGAGACAGGGAACGGATACAGTGTGGTTATTTCCGCACATTATGAAGTAAATCAAAATACCCATACGAAATGCATCTCGAAAGATGGAAAGCGGGAATGTATCTCATGCCTGAACTCACCGCATGATCTCGTTCTGCTTCTCCTCCTCCTGCTTCTGCCGCATAAGGACATTCTCGATCTGCATCCGCTCGTGGGGCGTGAGGTGCGACAGGTCGGGCATTTCGTCCATGGCTCCTTTGGTGGAATTGTGGTTGTGGTTGTGGTCGGAGTTCGTTTTTCGAGTAGCGTTGGCTGGACTGATTAGTCGCAGTGTAATAAACTTTGCTTGGTATTATTCATAGAAATGTTGATTTACGTTTCGATTGAATTTAAAGCTTTTCTTGGGGATTTGATAAACTTTTCTCGGGTTCGGTTGCTGGGAATGCAGTTTCGCAGTATTTATGCATACGTTGATATTAAATATTATTATTATTATTATTTGGATTACTAAACCATTTCCGATAGAAAATCACAGAGCAAATTTCAAATTTTATGGTTTCCTTTTGTTATTCGTAATGAACGCTGTTAGCTATTTTATTTTGTAGACTTTTGGAAATTCGTTGAAAACTGTTCACAATGCACACTGCGTCCTTCTGTGTCCGTGTGTCTGTGTTGAATGTGTTGTGTGCTTTATGCGCTCCGTATGCTTGTATTTGTGTTGCGGTCTGCTCGTGTGTTGGTTTTTTTCTGAGTCTCTTGTGTGTGTTTGTGTGCGTGTGTGCGTGTGCCGTCTGACCCCTTTTCACTGGCGATTTTCTTATTGTGCTCAGTTTGTATGTTTGTTTGCTTGTGTCGGCACCTTCCTCCTTGCTTAGAGCTTTGTATTTCTTTGGCTGAATGCAAATTTGAGTGGAAAACCCGTTTCTGGTTTTTGTTTCATTTTCCCACCGCTCTGTATCGTTGCCGGGCCTTTGTTGTTGTTTCTAATTGCTGTTGTTGTTGCTGCAGCCCGTGTCGAGTTAGTTGCGTCCTTTGATGCTGCTGCCCAGTGCGTTGCAGTGCCATTTTTGCGTTGAGATCGTTTCGAATTGCAGGCCACTCGGTTGAAAGGGAGTTAGTGCCCCCAGCTGTTTAGCACTGCAAGGAGAAAAAGTAAAATAAATGAAAATGGAATTTGGTTTTAGCTCCATTAAAGATTTCTTAAAGGATAAATATAGCATAACTTTTAAGAGCAATGCAATCATCCCGAACGCATTGCTTTTTAGGTTTTCGTTTCAATGCTTTGATAAGTAATCGAAATATGAATACTATATTTAAGTTCCATCTCTGTATTGCGTTCAATACTATCTCTTGAAATCGTTTTAAGCTGAAGCAATAAAAACAGGCCACATATTTCAACCGATTTATTTGGCCGGGAATAAATGCAAAACTCTTTCGTTGCGAGTGAAACATTTAATTAAATCTCGTAAACTAAATGCAATACGAAATTTAAAATACAAACAAAGTCAGCGAGTAGGAAATGAGAATTTTAACGAGATGAGCAGGCAGAAGTGGGTGCCACTGGGCCAGGAGGTGGCAAAAGGGGTCCAAACGAGATGCCGGGTCGGTCAGTATCTGGCCGCAATGCAAACATATGTAACTGTATTTATGGCCATCAACGTGCCAGGGCAAACAACCAGCCGCAAAACCCGTCAGGTCCTTTGGGTAAATGAAGGGGCCGAGAAGGATGCGGCTGCACCAGGACGTAAGGAGGGGCGACGGGGCGCTGCGGTTGACACCGTGACGCACGTACAAAATGCGAAAATATATATGAGGCCATGCACAAATGCGCTGGGAGAAAAAACTGACATATTTTAATTTACACGTTAATTTTGCAGTATTTTAATGGCATTGGCTGGATCAAACGATGTGGTATAAAGATGTATTCCAGAAACCTATTTTCATTACGGTTGATGTCAAAACCTTTACAAAAATAAATCAACCATTTTGAATACCATTTTTGTGGTTACTCATACTGTGATTGACTAGAAATGTACTATTATTTGTAAGCCTTTTAATAACAACATTCAATTTCATATGTTCACCTTCTTAGAAATCTAAAGTGTCTAATAAATTACTTAATAAATAATTATATATTTTACCAAAATCATTTAAAATTATTTCGAGTATTATTATTATTATTAGTATTATTTCAGGTATTATTACCACCAATTTGTATTTGATTTATCGGATTTTTCACAGATATATATTGACGACTATTGAAAGTTATTCCTTTTATTTTTTCAGTGCCCTCGCTGGCACTCACGCAAAATGGGAGACGGGTGTCAGGGGGAAGGGGTAAGGAGTAAGGGGCAGGGGCGGAGTCGGCTATTTATACAGACAAGCCCGCTGGAAGAGTGCAGAGTGCAACCGGAAGCAGACACTTCACTAGCAGGGGAGCAAAAGATGCTTTCATGTGCCTCATTTCCTCCGCCTGAAAGGCGTTCGAAATTAGCATTCAATGGGCCAGGAAGCAATGCAAGCCTTCGTAATTAAAAGCCGTCAAGCAGCCTGCGCAAAATAAAGTGAGCCCAAACAGGCGATTTGCCGGGATATCGAACTCTAATCCCATTTGAAAGCAGCAACCAGGATAAGGCGAGGACCAACTTGGGCAGCATTTTGCAGCAGGAGCTTTGATTGCATGAATATTGCAGCAGAGGCAGCAGGTCAGCGATGTTCGGCTTAAGTGGCCATTGGTTATGACCCCAGCCTTCACTGGAAACAATTTCCCACTCGCAAAGTAATAAAACTTCACGAGACTTTGTCAACTTTTCCCACCCGCTTTCCATAAAATTTTGTTGGCGTAACATTAAAATCCATGTCAAATCATCAACTACATGAAAAATGCGATTGATTTCTCGCATGTGTATTTCTTGCTGCTTTATGGCGCATCCTTAGGGGCACGAATTCGCATATTTACAGGGCGAGAAAAAACCGACTCTTTTTGTTTAATTCCAATAAACAATTTAGCTGCTTATTTAGCTGCTTAGTTTCATAGTGTTAAAGTTTCAATGAAATACAACATTTTGCTAGCTTGATCACATCGCATTCACTACCATGATGTCTATCTTTAAAATATCCTTACTTACATTCACTTCCCTTTAATTTTAAGCCTGTTAAGAATAAGGTTTATAGCAACATACATTTTTAACACAATACAAGACTTTACCCCCTGCTTTTCTGCCTGTGCAGCGCAACCCCCTCTTGGCCTATAACTTATGTAGTTCAAGCGAGATAAAATCCAGCTTCCATGGTGTTTATGGGCCTGCTTTATGCTGCCATCCACAGAGGTCCTCGCCCGAGGACCTCTGGTACGTATGGTGTATGGTGTATGGTGCATGGTATACGGCGTCTTGTGTTTCAGCGGCAGCTCATGAATTGATAATGCAGCAGATGCAGTACGGCCTGCAACAACAGCGCCATCGTGCCATGCAAAATTGATGGTTTCGTTGGGTGTTGGGTGGTGGTGGGGATTGTGGGGATAAAGTGGCTGCTTTATGGGCGACCAAGGAGCAGGACATCCAGGGAGCTGGGAACTTTGGACCTCTAACGACCTGGCACCTGGCAGGGAGCAAATTTAATACCGGAAATCAATCTTGCGGCTCTTCAATCAATTGATAAAATGCCAGATATTGCACGGCCTGTTAACAGTTTCCCTTTGGGCCTCACTCTCAAAATAAAGCGAGGAAAACACTAAAATCAGCGTATTAACTGAGCTCTCTCTCAGGAGAGAAATTGAGAAAATGAGTGGCAGGGAGAGAGAGAGCGGTTAACATTTCACCACGAACTTCGACTTAATGCGCGCGCTTTTGAGGGTTTAACTGCTGAGCGGTGAGTGAATTTCCCAGGAATTTCCCGCTATGAATTTCCCAGCCACCTGCTTCGCAGTAGATAGAAAATTTCATGCGCTGACCGCGCGAACTTAGGAACAACAACAACAGCAGCAACAATAATGGCAGTTATTAAGGCAGCAAAAAAGCGCAGCAATGGAAAACCCCAAAGCAGGGCAGAGGGAAAACTTATCAGGCACAAGGATGAATTATAATAATAATGAAAAATCCAGCGGAGCGGGTGCGCGGGGGCACATTCTGCATTCCTTGTCCACTGGCCAAGGTTATTTCACATTACGCATACGCCCCGCGGCCCACAGAACAGGCTACGGCTGGTTATGGCTGGTTATGGCTCACCAACACATGGGCGTTTAGGGGCACAAATGTGAAAGTTCACTGCCAGCAAATGCAGCTGCTATTTCTACTGCTGCTGATGGCTCTGCCTCTTCTGGTCTTCTGGGCCTGCCGCTCCTGCCCGGCTGATAATTGACACTTTCAATTAGCCATCGCAATCAGCAACAAAAGCGGCCACAACAATGCGCCCAGCAGAAGGGAAACCTCATCGGAAATACATTGGAAAAGCTTGAAAACGAGCACGGAGCAGTTAAAGTGCACAGCAACACAAGAAAGCCATCAAGCAAAGGTCAAAATGCTAAATGGCTCACCACAATCGAAAGAGCAATAAATTAAATATGCAGCTACGGCATCTTTTTATTTAAGCATCACAGGCAGATACTATTTTTAAGTCAGAAAGCTAAAGCTACTTCTGCTGCATATATGTTATTCAAATTGGGTATTAATAACTTATAATGACAGTGTACGGTAAGCCAAAAAGTCCACTTTATTTCGGCTTAAACTGATACAGAATTGGTATATGTAAAAGAAGGCCAGAAACCATAATGAACAATATATTTACCTGCATAGAATAGTTGTCAACATAAAAGTAAAGCTAGGAAATGCTAAATACTCGTTTCCTTAAGAACCCATAAGCGTATTCGTGCTACCTAATTCCCGGAAAAACAATTCCCTCTCCTTCAATTTCAGTCTAATTTAAGAGTGCGACACGTTCTGTAGTTTTGCATTTAGTTGACCAACTGAAAGGGCGAAGCTTCAACTGGTTGCTCGTTTGTAAACTGGGTCATTTATCAACTGACATCACCTGTCAACGGGGGGTTTCCTTATCGAGCAATATATATATTTCAGTCTCCGTGACGTCACGCCGCCCATGGAGATCGCTCGAAATTTATGCAGATAGCTGAATTGGCAAGCGAATTTTCATGGCGTCAGCCATTTGGAGCCAACGGGTGCAATGCACTGTACTTTCGCAGTACTTGCAGGACACAAGCAAATAAACACGCACACTTATGCACTCCAATAGAGCCACAAAAGAAAACGTGGCCAAGCTGCCACGCTTGTTGTTGCTGCAGCCAAAAACTATAAACGAGGCAATGACTTGGTGACTTTTTGCGGCGGCCTGCCAAATGGAACGTCTTAGGGGTTTTTCCCCACCAGCCTGCTGACTAATGACCATTTTACAGTCGAGGCTAGCCGCCTTTCGTTTGATTCGTGGGCCCAGAGCCCATAATTGCACTTATTCATTCATAGTTGCAGTGCCGGCCAGCGAGCACAAGTCATTGACTGGGCCGAAAAGGATATCTGTGGGCTTTCCCGGAAAAGGGAGAGCTGGAACAATGCCACTTTGTCGTTTGGCCTGTTCAACTTTTTCATTTGCGCGCACAATTTCCATGCAATTAACGGCGAACAAATGCGAGCGACAAAACCTGCCAAGGGGGGAATATAGGGTATAACAACAGGGCGCATTGAATATGTTCAAGGGGGGGGGCCAAGAGGAAAAAGTGGCAAAAGGGCGAGCAACGACAGCGAAGCATAAAAAGCAATTTCATGCACCCATTGACCCCCACAAAATGTTGGAGACATAAAGGGAAAATAGTGGGGGATACAGTGTCAATAGATAGTTGTTTCAGCGATGTCCAACCAGCCAACGGAACGCCCACACATCCGCGCCCACTTGTTTCCAAACAACAAAGCCCTTTGCCAATTGTGGGCGCACTGCCATTACTCATACGCCCCGTGTGCATTGTCAAACATTTATGACGTCCATTTTGGCGAGTGTATTAGTGCTCTAGTGTCGTCATTACCATCATTTGTCTGTGGGGCAAAATACCCATCCATATCCATAGCCACATCCCATTCCACTTCATCCGATCCGATCCCATTCCTGCGATTCGTTGTTGTTGCCTAGTGACGTTCGCCATTTGCCAAGCGAGTCGAGCGAAAAGGAAAATCGATTCCAACTGACTGCCTGTTGCTGTCTGCTACTGTGCTACTAGTTTACCTTTTAATTAAATTTAACGCCCATCGAAGGACCACCCACCACCCACATTTACTATTCATTATTGCCCAGTAAACAGAGCAGTAACAGCCACAAAAGAGCAGAAAACTGCACACAACAGAGAGAACAGGGGCTAAATTTGCTTTATATGCTGTGGCAATTTCTCGGCCATTGTTCGTCATTGTCTGGGGCAACTGTTGATGTTGTTGCCTCTTGATTCGTTGACTTTGCAGTACATAGGGACTAGTATTGGTACTACTCCAAATACACTTTTTTGGTTCAACTTACATGCATTTCTGTATCAGGTTGCTGGGCAAACGGCGTTGTCTATTCGTTCGTTGTTTGTTGTTTGTGGCTTTCCTTAGTTGAGTTAATTTGTGTGTTTTTATTTGCGGTTGGTTTATGTTTTAATAAGAAAAGAGTTCTTGTTCTTTAGTTATTTTGTTGGCTATTTACAAGGCTTGGGCTGAATTTCATATACTTAAAAAACTTGAAAACTGTTTGGTAGAAAGACGTTGGTTAGGGCTTTTAATCATTTATGTGTATTCCTTATTTATTTATAACAAACACTTAGGCGGCGCTCGGCATTTGTTGTTTCTCTAGCGAGCTCCGCTTGTCGTCTAAGTGTAAAGTTGAAGCTGAGTTGTAATTATGTTGCATGCTGCCTCTATTGTTGTAACACTCACACACGCACATAGTCACACACATGGGGAAATAAAAGAGCGAGAGCGCGCGAGCGAGCGACTGAGAGAGCACACTGCAGCTGGCAGGAAATACTGGGATGTTTTTGTGCCAATACTGGGTTTCCACACACCGAACGGAGGCCAAAGGCCAACACGGGTTAGCCAAGTTAATCATACGCACTGTTGTACATGAAAAAACATTTACTGCGCTGTGGATTTTGATTTCGAAATTGAATTTCATTTCAAATTGAATGGACCTTTATTTATTTGTATGTTTTTCGTAATAATTGTTTTGGCTAACATTCCTCAATTCCTTGTTTGATTGTGTGTGGTGAACTTTCTCTCTCGTTAACTGTCGCTCTCCTTTGACTTTTCACCCGCATTAATAGTAATTTTTTTCCATATGAAATTGTATAAAATTTATGAGCTGCCAAAGCCCCATTTGAAAATATAATTTTAAAACTTGAGCTCAAGGATAAGGGACAACCGTTAACAGCTACAGGGCTCCTTGTGTGTGTGAGAGTATGGCTTAATTTTTCTGCATATTTAATGCGTTCATCCGCACCGAATCCTGGCCAAAAGGATCACGGCCAACACAACAAAGGAGCGCAGAGGCAAGAAGTCGAGGAGAGAAGAGAGCGGAGAGAGGAGAGTTTTGGGTGGGATTGCGTGGCGTTGTGTGTACAGAAAAAAGCAAGCAGCTCACGAACGGCGGAAAAAAGCAGGAAAAAATGAACGAATCAAATTTAGTCAGGGAAACCAGTGGAAATTGCAGAATTTTCTTACATTTTTTATACACTTTCTTGTAGGTTGTTGGAGCTGTTTTGTGGTTGTGGTCATTAGCTTAAATCACAATTGGTTTGCACTTAGATTTTATGTAGATTTGTGTGTGTATAACATATACGTATATATCTATATATATGCTTGTATGCAGGGCTATATATATCTATGTGTGCAGCATTCCATATGCGCAAATGAATTTTCCGTTTAGCGAACTCATTTTATTTGTTTGTTGCTGGCTTTTCGCTTGGTTAATTGTTGTTTGCTGGCGCTCAAAGCCTGATGTTGCTGCTCTCTGCTGGTGTGTGATTTTGTTGCTGTTGCTGTGCTGCCTGCTGCACCAACAACAACTAGATGGAGTGCGGCGACAACAACAACGACAACGACAACGACGACGGATGCGACGACGGCAACGACATCACGACGGCACGACAACGACTGAAAACTGGACCCGCAGCTGGAGCTGGAAAAGCTATATAGCCCACGATATGGCCCACGATATGGCCCACCTACATCAGGAATTCGCTTCGATTGTCGTCAGCAGTTCAGGAATTTCTCTCTCGCTATCCCCATATCACTCGGTTTCTCTTCTCCTCTCTCTCTCTCTCCCTCACTCTCTCTCTCACGTTCGCGTGGTGAATTGACCAGGGAGTTGTTAACCAGGCAAGGGGGAGCACATGTTTCTCTCAGTGTTATGAGTGGCTTTTCATATTTCATGTGCAATTTTAACACCTACTACAAACTAACTGCTCTAATAAATGTTAGTGTGTGTGTGTGTGTGACTCCAACTTTCCCCACCCACCCAATACCCGCCCCTTTGGGCATTACATGCTCATATAGTTGTTTTGCGCAAACATTAAGCAACAACATCGTGTTGCATATTCATAAAATTCAACTCCTCATCCTGGGGGCGTGTGTGCTTATGGAAATGTGTCCTGTTCATGTCCTCCCCTCTTGCTGTTACCAAAATAAAAACACAGTTTTTCATTGCATTTGGGGATGGTCTTGCAGTAGCAGCGGCGATTGGAACGAATCGCTCTTTATTGCATACTTCGGGGGGCAGGGAAGATACGCCTTTTCACTGAAAGTTATTGAATAAATTTGGCAGCTTACTCGAGCTTAAAAATGCAATATACTTGAACAAGTGAACATTAAATTTATTTCCACAACGGTATAGTTATAATTCATATACCACAAATGAATTATATTCTTCTTGGTATTTGTTTATTCAATGTCTTCAGCAATTGGCTAAATATTCCCTTTAAATCCATTTGAGGCAAATGTATTTTTGGATGCCCAACTTCTGACCTTAACACGTCACGTGCTTGTCAAAAATATCCAACACACAAAGCCCATAAAATTTGTACACTTCTGTTGCATATTCGCAATTGGCTTGAGTTGTCGTCGCTGCTATCGCTTTTATCTGCCCGCTTATCCCAGCCATCATGAGATTTGGCGTAAATTGTCACAGCCACTCCGGGCCAGCCTTCCGTTCAAGCTCTCGGCCAATTTTAGCCCCAGTGCATATCCATATAATTGGTTTCCTTTGGCGGAGCTACACAATAATAAATACACAATAATCATACTCGCCTGCAGTATCAGCAAATTTAAACGAAACGATTTACTAAGTATTAGGAATAATATTGATAGAAAAATATATCATTAGACAAACATAGACAAATAGATCGAAAAAATTGCCTTTTAACTATTAAAGCCCAATATAACAATGGATTTTGTATTATGCTGATATGTATCAAAGAATAAGTGAATATAAAACATACAAAAACATTTGAGTTATTCATCAGTTAACAAAAACGTTTCAATTAGACATCATTCAAGTAATGGAATCATAGCCTAGTTTGGCGTCATTCAACTACAAATTTTTCTCAGGGTATGACAGCAGAAAACAGAAAGATAAACGCGTTTCTGGCCGTCGAAACTCTTATTCCATTGCTGAAAGCCTGCTCACGTGCAGTGTCTTCGGCTCACAACACTCGCACACCCGCACACTCGCACAACCGCCGGTACACGCACACATGCACACACTGGCACACGAAGGGGAGCGATTGGATTTCCGGCGGAGATGAGAGAACGCTGCGTGGGCGGGGGGAGTGGCAGGCGGAGTCTGGGAGAGCCAGGAGCTGTATTTGGCCGCCAGCATTTTCCGATGGTGCCGCTTACTTTGTAAGTGTGCGTGTGTGTGCGTTTGTGTGTGTCTGGGCGGCTGACGTCATTGAGCTTTTTATTGATTTTCATTTTAACCAAAAAAAAGGAAGAAAACATACTTGGGCTAGGACGAAGGGCAGGAAGGCCAACAGATGTCATCCAAGAAAAGGCGAAATGCGCAATTAAAGAGAAGATTGCAAAAAGGGTTTTCTATAGGAAGTTTTTGACTTTCTTGGGGGTTTTAACTTGGCCAGCAAATTCTGTGTTTCATGATAATTACCAGGTAGAGATACTTTACAATTGGTAAGAGATATCTTCAGTTGATTTCAACTTGCAAGCCAGTAAAAAAACGTCAACTACAAGTGTAAGCCCGCAAACGGATTATGGTCTAATTTAATTTATTGTTTACAAGCTCAACTGCGTAATCAGCCTGTTTATATAAGAGTACACATATAAACCTGATGTATTTTGATTTTGCTGTTATTGTTTGTCAAACAATCGTTATGGCTGATTTTGTTACTTTTGTTGTCTTGGTGGAAGCTACGAAAAATTAGGTCTATTTGCATAGGAAATCAAAGAGTGCCTGGTTTTGGATGAGTACAAGCTCCAATTCAAGTTGAGTATCATATATTATCATCAGTTTTATAATAATTTATAAATTGTGAAATTTATAAATTCTTAAGTCATGTGAGATCAAAATGTACATACGTTGGCAGTTGGCTATCATAATAAAGTCAACAGATTGTCCTAGATCATAAATAAAATCATATTTTGTTTCCAACGTCTTAAATAACTACTACTACATTTGTCATGGAAATTTTTTTCAGAAAAATTTTCATTGGTTAAATCAAAATTAGAAAACAAATTTTCTTTCAATAGAAAATAAAATATTTTTTAATTATTTATGTTAAAGGTAAATAGTACATGTTTTTAAAACATCTACATCTACATCAAAAGCGACACCTGCCGGCACGTTCTAGCAACTCGCTTGTGCGGCGAATTCGAAACTTGGCTATATTAGCCAAGTAAACAACCGGAAATATCCAAGAATTTAGCCGATTTCGCTACCATTCTAAAGGTGCGCCTTTCTTATTTTCTAAAAACCTGCGCAGAATTAATACACTTCCTTTGCTTCTCTCTCTTGCGAGATATGTCAAAGTGACAAGTCTTTTAAGGCAGACCATATGAAAGCTATATGTGCGACAAGAGAGCGAAAAACAAACAGATAAAGATAAAACCACCCCCAAAAAGCCGCCCCTTGCCAAATTACACGGACCCCCCAAATAGAAGACAGCCAAACAACCCCCGAAAAAGCAAGGAAAAATTTCAGGAAAAATACCTGAATGAGATTATGATGGGGCTTGAAAGAAATGCAAGGGCCGGGTAAAATTGAGAATTTCATTTAAGGCGGGGGTTTAATTTTATGGAGATGCACCACCCACAACCAGCACTTAACAGCACTGTGTGTGGGCGCTCTCACAGGACTTCTGTTTGCTCTTGCCTATGCTCTCTTGGATGCTTTTCGGATCTGCGCGCAGCAATCTCAACGAGATGGGGCGAAAATCTCTAATACGGATGCCCGATGATGAAAAATTCATGGCCTGGCATCGCACGCATCCTGCGCTGGCTCCTGAGTAAACGAAAACACTCCGACTCAGTCACACGCAGCGAACACAGAGGCCAGCGATATATACAGTGAAACCCCCGAAAAATATAGCCAATTGAGACAAATATCCGAATTGTGCAATAAATAAAGCGCTGCATACCGCAGGGCGCAGCCAACTTCTTGCGAAGCCAAATCGAGAAATTCTTCGAAACGCGAGTGCCACCAAAAGTTGATTGCTTCGAATTCGCAGCCAGTGATTGTATAATTTCCATTGCTTTGCTATATTTACGGGTGTGGGCGCCCAACGGCAGCGGCAAGGAGATATATCTATATATATATATCTTCCGGGATACACGGATTGACCAAATCTGCGCCAGAGATAATTACGAAAATCGCCAAATTCCCGGGCATGAAAACTTAATTGACTTGAATAAATAATTTCCAGCCTGAGTTGTTGTTGTTTGTGCGCCTACGGTTTTTTTCGGTGAAAGCGAATGCGGGCCCAAAGCGGAATCGGAAAAAGTTACTGAAATACAACGGCAGAAAAAAACGAATACATAGAGAAACTGCCGCTGCCGTTGCCGCCTGTGAAAGCAAAGAGAAGGGGGTGCAGAAGGAGCGTGGGCAAAGAGAGCGAGAGGACGAAAGCGCGGAGGAGGTCGCGGAGTTGGAGAAAGGGGGCTCGAGGCGTAAGAGAAAGCAGCCCATACTGCAGAAGAGAGCTGAGCCGGAAAGGAAGAGACAACATCGCAATTTTGTGGAAGACATTCGCAGTGGATGGAAAATTTATAAACAAAAATTGGGTTCCACAGAGAATGCTGAGGAAATGAGAAACGCATAACAAATACATATATGTAGGAAATGTAACTTAAAAAGAAGGACTCATATCAACACATATCATTCTATAGTCTATAGAAAATATTAAATAACTAAATATACAACAAGCAGCGAAATAATTTCGGAAATTACCTAAAAACCAAATGATATTTTATTGAATAAAAAAATAAAACCCATGCGATAACCATACATATCATGTAAAATCGTTTAATGCCAAAAGGCGACTTTGAAAAGTATATCTAATTAGCGCATTAAAGAGAAATGTAATTCAAAACATTAAGGAAATCTACGAATGGAAACGTAAACATATCATGTAAAACGCCCAAAAAGCTTGCTGAATCTCTAATCAAGCTTTTTTATCTTATCAACAAAATAAAAACAAAGCAAATGAACTAGGAACTAAGGAAAGTTGTGCAAATTATCGCATACATATCAAAGCTCTTGCAAAGAGTAAATATAAATATTAAATTTACAATTATCTAAGATCTAGTTAACTTAACAAAATCCAAAGAACAGTCATTTTTGTTAGAAGTTTTACATTAGATGTCTTAAATATAACAACAAAAAGATATAAGCAACAATATTGTCACATATCATTGAGGAAACCTCAGCAAAAGTCTCAAACTAGAACGACTAGCGAACTTATCAATTATACAGACTGCGTGTTAATGAATGCTACGCGAAAATAATAATTACTTTATCAAGCGGACCAATTGCAAATGCCGAGAAGACTTCATTGAATTCCAGACGACGGATCGAAATACCTAAAGTTCTTAATAGGTAAGTGTACACAATGACGAAACCATTAACTAAAAATGGTTCTCTTCTGAGGGAAATGCCACATTCTGTCTTGCGTCAAAGGGGCTCTTAATTAGAAAATCAAATCCGAGAATGCTTT